AGCAATCAAAGAATGTTCTAGAAAGAGAAAAAAACAGTTTTTGAAAACAAAAGTAAATCATCCATCATTTTTTATACATTTTTAGCTGTTGAGAAAGTTAAAAAGTTAATCACATGCAAGTTATGTATATTTTCATTATTAATTAGAACTAAGGAAATCCTAAAAAAAAAAAAATTCAATTTTAAATTAAAAAAATAGTTATAGGATTGTCTAATTAGAAATTAGAAGTTAAAGAACTAATTTTTAAATGATATATAATTCAGAAAAAAAAATTGTATTATTCCACCATACTTTGTTTGAATGTGCTTAGAGAATTTAAAATTTCGAAAAAAAGAAAAACTCTCTTGCTGAAACAGAAATGCAAACATGGCGTTTAAAATGGATTATAACCTTGAGTGTTATTATTATTATTATTATTATTATTTTATATAAAAAATAGGTCTAAAAACGAGATTAAAAAAAAAAAAAAAAACATGAATACCAATTGAACAACAATTTATTGACATTTGCATGGTAAGTTGATAAAAAAAAAAAAAGGGTAAATAGATGTCACCTCACCTAAACTTTAACTTAGTTGAGAGTTAATCCCTTAACTTTTAATTTCGGATTATAGCTCTTTTAAATTATATTTTATTTAAAATCAAATTTTTTTATTATACATGGTAAGATTTCATTCATAATTTGCACATGAAACAATTGGAAAGACTCGAAAGAAAAGCAATTCGATTTTGTTCTTTTGTAATTAAAAAATCTATTAAATATTAGCAAAATGTATTTAATTATACAGAACGTAAGGCAAGAAAACAAATATATTACAACTCTGTATTCTAAATAAGTGGAATCGTTTTATGTATGTAGTCAATGTTATTCTTGGGTGACCTTTTTAACATCGACGTAGAGTTTACCTCCATGGTCCAGTCGAAGGCTAACAAGATCACAAAAACATATTTATTGACCATTGTATTTCACCTGTGCTCTTTACATATTCTCAAAAGACTAGTGACTAGGTTACGTGCATAGGGAGACACAAACCTGGTCTTTGGTCGGGCCTAGGCTAAGTCTGTTTGTGCTCAGCCTGGACTCGGTTTGGTCAATCAGACTAGATCCTAAGCTCAAGCCCGGCCTGTGGCAGGCTTTGGGCCCTTAGGCCTCTTGCTGAGAAAGGAACGATAGGGGGCCGAAAAACCGTTTTCATTAAAAATAACAAAAAATATAAATTAGTTTCTTCTGACCCATGATTCAAAATTGTATGTGTCACACTTTGCTCGTTGAATTTTTCTATGTAAAAAGCTTGATTATCTATATTTTAAGTGTTTTAATCCGTATTAGATTTGATAATAGACATAATACAAAGTAGATGTCCGTTGTACTCGACTTATTAAATACTTATTAAAAATATTTAATAAATATTGATATGAGTAAAAATAAAAAAAATACATATTTGTTAATATGGTTTTGTGATATAAATTGTCAATCTATACCATACTAATATCTATTAATTTATTTAAATTTTTTTTTTATCATGTAAGAACCTCATTGCATTAACTTTAAAAATTTGGGATCAAAATATTTTTTCTAAAAATTTGAAAACCAAAAAACTTATAAATGAAATACCAAAATGTAAAAAAATAATTTTAAGGACCATTTTTTTTATAATAACAACTAAAAAGAAATATTTTGATAGAATGCTTTTAATGGATATTCAATAAGTAGATAAAATGAGTATGAACGGATACTAGGCTGAATAAAAATTTATAATGTGATTTTTTTTAATAGGTATAGGTAAAATATATTTTTTTAATAAGGAAGGTAAAAAATTAAATTAATAAAGCAGGTATGAGTTTATTGTCATCTTTAATGTGCATGCATGAGACACTTTTTTAATTTGACGATGATAGTGGCAAATGGCAATACAGTCGGAGGCATTTATGAACTAATTAATCAGATTTTAAATATGACAAACATGATAATTGCAAACCGATGTTAGATGAAATATCACTAAGACTATTTTACTAGTTTAGGCTTATCGTATGCTGATGTACTTAGGACTATATTGGACAAAAGCCATGAAAATTTTACCTTTTATTGTGTGCCACGGTCAGATTTCTATCCCATCCACTCATTAAACACACAGTCATGATCGTCATTGCTAGAACATACAAAGGTGGAAAGCGACTTCATGATCATAATTAATAGGGCCAGCTATTATGGATTTAAGTAAATAAACTAGTAATGAATGACAGATTTGGGTAAAGAGAAGCTACCATTTTATGAAAAAAACAACAACTTTCAGCTACATTGTCCATAAGATAGAGGAGGAGCGCGCAAAAAGCTGTCTAAATGAAGGAATCAAAACAAGTGTAAATCAGCATATGCTCTGTCGACCCGTCTTGGCCTTGGAGTATAGTGGTAGAGATTGTCACTTGCTGTCTCGACAAATCATCAGTAAATTTCAGATTAGTATGTTTAGTTTTACAAAATGAAAGCAGTAGTTTGTTTCTTAAAATTAATTATTTAATTTTTAACCCGAATTAATTTAATATTATTTTGTTTCAAAAAATATTTTTTATCAATATTTATTTTTTTACGTTTTCTATTTATTAAAATAAAAAGAAAAAATAAATTACAAAGATTAAATTACAAATAAATTTGAAAATACAGGACTAATTAATTAATTATTAAAACAAAAAGAACTATTCAGTTCCTTTTAAAAAACTAGAGCGACTAATTCACAAATCACTTAATTTTTTTATATAAAAAACAAAAAACAAAACGAAACGAAAACAAAAACAGATCATTTTCCTTATCTTTTCATTGTCTGTACATGAGCCAGTGGCATCAAGTAAATTAGAAATTAAAGTCACATGCATATATTTAATTAGATTAAAAGCAAACAGCTAGCAAGCACGTTGCTAAAGAAGGTTTACAAACAAGAACAAAAGATTACAGCCATTTGGAGAGGACCTATATCCTAGTGATGGAACCCAAAAGACTGGCCATGAATTATAAGAGCCCAAGCTCTCCTAAACCATATACGTACACTTCTGATAGGTTTAGTATATTCGAGGTCGTTTGTAATATGTGGCACTGAGAAGCGAACCCGAGACAGAAGAAGGTTTTGCTTATTATGTGGGTTTTGAAAGAATGATATAGCTATGAACTAAAACCAGCTCTATCCCTGTTCATTATATCAACTAGATCCTAAATAACCCTGTTGTAACACCACCATAGTTAGAAAAATATATATATATCGGCAGAGATATCTTCCCTAAACTGAGACCTTCAAAAATTTTCAAATCTTCTGGCAAATAATGGGGGATGGGAATAAGGAGGACATGACAAGCATCTTCTACAAACTCCAGCAAAGAATTCAAATATAAGACGTGGAATTGACGACTCAAGATAATCCTTCGCTCATTCCTTTGCAACCAGTTTCTGAATTAAGCATGTGAGCTAGGCTTCAGAACTGTGGGTTTTTTTTTTTTTAGAGAGATAAAGGGCTTATTAATTCTTAAAAACCTAACAACAAGAACAAAAGCAAAGCTGCAGAGAATTCTCAAGTCGACAATCTATTAATCAACGATGACAGACAGCCAAAAACCTAAAAATAGCTTATACATAGCATGTCCTAAACACACAAGGACTAAATAAAAAATAATAATAAACCATCCTTAAATCTGAAAATAATATAAAAGATAACTAGTAGCTACAACAGCAATTTAGACATGTTATGCGAATTTGAATCATAAAAAATCATCCTAATTTTCTAATCCGAGTAATCATCATCGATCTTGTAATTCTTTTGATACATTGATGACATCTAAATTAAATTCTTGAATGAGAAAAATTAAGTTGTTTTCTATCTTCAGTTCAAACTTGAGCACAGGCTTTATTATGGATACATACACACACGTTGTGCTTAGCCAGGGGAGGAAAGGGACTCTGGAGGCTCCGTTTGGTGAGCCTTAAACCTCTTCAAGGATGGACTATGGAATTGCATTTGGGCTCCAATTAAACCAAGCTTAAGCTCTTTAAGAATCAAGGAACCCCACAATAGTCAATGAAGCCTGAAAAATAAAAATGCAGTGATAGATCCATTCAACTCAAGCTTAAGCTGGGTCGGGCTGAATCACTAATGCCTATATGGCTATATATGTTTGGTGTTTTTGCCGCGAGACAACAACAAATCTTTCTTTTATATAAAGTACTGAAAATGCTCCTTTTTTTTTTTCAGGATCCATTTTAATTTGATAAAACCATTTTAATCTTTTTACTCTGCCTTATCGATATTACAATTTATTTATATCCAATATTTTTTTTGACAGAAAATGTGTCTAACATTATTTATTTATTTATTTATATATGTAAAATATAATCCATTTTTCGGATGTGATATTGTAGTCTAAGTTTCGTTCCATCACCAATTGTGGTTGAAAGGGGCCAAACAATTCTTATCAAAATAATGTTATCTAACTGAAGAATGTACATGGTGTATGAGACGGTATGGTGGATTTCATTCAGTCAAAAGAAATAATCGTGAACTTTTGTCTGTTCATAAACAATGCTATATCCGATTGCAATTGCTAATATCTTTTATGATATTCTTTGAATAAAGTTGCACCGTCTACTTCAGAAACTAGGCCAGGTCAAAGCAAATTTCTTAGGCAAGAAAAATACTAGCAAGAGAAAGAGATTCCGAGAAAAAGAGGGATCGAGAATTTTTTTTTCTTTTTTTAACAAAAAACATCATTAGTGGATATTGTGTACTGTGAAGTATTTTCTGAAATTAAATTTGTGATTTAATTGTCTAATTTGCCAATAATCTACTGATCATGTGAAGAAAGAGAGACAGAAAGACTTAAGCTCAAGTCGATCTCATCTTTAGAAAATTAAAAAGTAATAATGTGCTCTGTGTGGGTTGTGATGCGAAGAGTATAAATTCTTAATAGACGCTAATCAGCAGACAGCACTACAGTATGCTGTTAGTAAATAAAGATAAAATGGTAAAAGAAAGCAGTGCATGGCTTTACAAGAACGAGGTGGAGTTAAAGTCAGTGTCAATCTTCGTCGAGACAAAATGAGATCGCTTTGGAGCTATCTGTGTTGAATAAGTTGTCTTCAAGTTCTTATGGGAAAGAGAGAGATAGTTCTTTTAGTAATGGTGGTCACGGGGAGGAGAGTGGACCTGGGAACGTGTTTCTGGTGGCGGCAGGACCAGGGGATCCTGAGTTTTTGACATTGAAGGCTGTGAAAGTGATACGGACACTGACCTTTTGTTGTATGATAGGTTGGTTGGTCCTTGTGATAAATTGCATTATATTGGCATTGCTGGATACAATAGCAGAACTCAGGTAAGCAATAAAAGAGAGTCCTTTTTATTTGTTGAAGAGATTTTCTTTTTGAGTTGGGGTTTTGAGGTTTTTAGTTATCTGTTCAAGTTCCATTTTCTAGGGCTTTTGAGAATTTGGCTTTTGGGTTTTGTTTAGGGGTTAAGACTTCTTAGTTTTAGATTTCTGTGTTTTTAACTGTTTCTTTGGATTGGGTATTCCAACTTTATTGGATTTAGCTGGAATTTTGAAAATAGGTGTATAGAAGTGGGGGCCAGTTTCATGTTAAATATATTTCAAACTTCAAACTTTTTTATTTATTGGTGTATAGGATTGTGTTTGGTTTTTGGCTGGATTTATGTGCTTGGTTAACAATTTGATAGAATTGCTTGTTGGTGTGCATGGCTTTAGGGGCAGTGTACTGTTTATAGAGTTTCTAGAATTGGGGTTTTGTTGAAATGAGATCAAATGAGTCAATTTTTTAAGGCTCTTTTTTTTTTTTTTTTAAAAAAAAATGCAGGAGGAAATACATCAATCGCTTTTAAGTTTTGCTGAAGCAGGAGCTCCTGTTGTGAGACTGAAAGGAGGTTATCCACTCGTGAGTCTTTTTATTTAAAATGCTGCCAATGAATTCAATGTAATGTGCTTTCTAGTTGAGCTTTTGGTGACTTCATATCATCGTGTGTTAAAGGTATTTGGGATGGGTGGAAAAGAGATGGATTTTCTGCAACAAAAAGGAATTCAAGTTAAAGTTATTCCAGGTATGATTCTGCACATCTTCTGCATCCTTTTACAAAGTTTAGACTCATAAAAATATCACATTTGGGTGTCTCATGGTGAAGAAAAGTGGAAGATGATAGCCATCTCCAGGAGTCATGATAAAAGTTTGGAATAATGTCATTTGAAGAAATTGGATCCCTGTAGTTTAACATTCATCTTTCAATTACTTCCGGTTTCAATTTTACCATGATTAAAAAAAAAAAAAACACTCCTCAGCCCATTACTTGACCAAACTAGGGATGCCATTGCTAGACATGGAATGCTGGAAGTATCATCAGAAAGGCATTCATGACATTGTTACTGGAGATTTTTTGATGGGAATAAGGGAGAGGTATGAGAATGTTATCGAACTAGTTGTCCTTAACACTTTTATAACTTGAGGAGATTTTTTTAATACGGGAAAGAAAAGCCTTGAGGTTTATCTGCTAGAAGTGGTGCCTTCCCTTCACATTGACAGATTTAAAATCTCTATTTATAGATACTGGAAATTAAATTAATTTTTTGTTTTGTCAAGTTAGTGTCGCTGCTAGCTAATATTATAGTAGTGCCTTCCAATACTTGACTACATTTCATAGTTTCTTTCCCATGAGGAGGGATTCAGAATGATGATGCAAAAATGGTAGAGATGCAAACATGCTTGTGTTCTTTTCATAGTTTCGCTTATTTTTTCTTTCCTATTCCGCTTCAGTAGGCGACCCTGCTTTTCTTCTTGATTTCTGATGCTTTTCTGGTTTGGAAAGTGAAACAAACTCATATTGTGGATGGCCCTGCTCATTGCCGTGCAGGTATTACTTCTGCTTAAGGGGTTGCAGCAGAAGTGGGGATTCCATTAACTCACCGGGGTGTTGCAAACAGTGTTAGATTTCTACAGCAGCATGGTGAGTATGATGACAATCATACACTACAGGCACCTTGCAGGAAACCAGAAATAGATTTGAAATGCCAGTATCATTTTCCTTTATGTACGTAGTTATTAAAATCATACCGCAATTACTAGAGAATGAAGGGTTTATGTTATTTGAGGGTGTATAACGGTTCACCTCTTAAAATTTTTCACATTGAGAATGTAGTTGCATCAAGGAAGGAATATGTGTATTTTAGATATAAATTATTTAGCTAATATTAGGGAAGAAACTAATGATTCCATGACAATAATTCCACCTTAGTGCACAAATGTTAATGGAATTTGTGGAATAGTTAAATGCTACCATTTTTCTAGGTAAATTGAGGTAACTATAAAACTCTCTTTCATTTCTTTCTTTCTTTAATCAAGTTAACGAAGTCGTTTCGAAATAAAAAATGATTTTTTTTTTTTTTGGGTGTCTGTGGCTGTGCAAAATCCTTTTATTCTGAAAAAATGAATAGTAACTGAATGCATATGATCATCAGAATTTTGACTATCGTAAAATAAAATATCACATGTGAATTTTTGGGACATGTACTAGGTTTTTAATAAAAATAATAGAATCCATTTGAAGGATTGTGTCCTGTTAGATATTTACCTCATTTAAATTCATTGAAATGCTATGCGGAACAATATGGAATAGAAATAAATGAGTTTTGATGTCACATCATTTCGTCAGGTTTTAGGTTAGGCTAAAGGCTTACAGCTGATCCTCAGTAATTGTAACGCTTCACAAATTACTGTTGTTATTGATGAGTCTTGTTGCAATTTCATATCTGTTTTAAGATAGCTGGAAAGCTTATGAACAAGATCCTTGCCCATTTGAAGTGACGATGTTGCCATGAACTGATAATAGTCATTTGCAAGCACACAGGTCTTTGCAGAGCCACAGGATCTTGCTGATAAAGTTGTGCGGGAAGAGTTAGTTTCACCAACATTGATAATCATCGGGAAGGTGGTTGCACTCTCACCATTGTGGCCACTTTCTTTTAAAGAAGAGCATCCTGTTTAATGGAGGCTGTGTAGATGTGTCTGCATCGCATGGATGGCGATTTAAGGCTGTCCAAGTAACTTTTTGGCAATTCAGAGATTCAATTCAATCAATTTAGTCTATGCGACTGAGCTTCTGCTGTATTGGAAACCACTTCTGAATCGGTTGCTTATTATGATGGTTTCGATTCATAAGAAGGGGAATGAACGTGCTAAAGGTTCTTGCTCTGTGCTTCATTTGACCGGCTTGGTTTCAAATTCGAAGCAGAGCACCATGATGTACGTCTGTAGAGAGCAAGCTTTTGGACTCTTTAAGTCTTACCTTCATTGCGATTGGATTGATCTGAGGGGAAGGTGATCCGCCGTTATGTTGACTAACAAATTTTGTAACAAAAGCTTTGATTTTCTAGTACAAGCAATCAAAGCTCCGATGTTGTAATTATTTGGATGAATTAGTGACAATGCGGACTAATTTCTTTCTATAAATTGATTCTTGCTTTCTATCTTCAATTCTCGATGACACATGAACAAGAATGTGCAAGGAGAAGGGACTGTTGGGAATTTGAGATGACTTTTGGATATTTGCTTATATCTAAAGAATTGGATAGGTAAATCCTTTGAAATGAAGTCAACCCCAGCCAATCCAATCCTGGGCAAAGAAAGGAACATACATATACATATATGTGCTCACTTGTAGTTGGAGTAAGGTTTTGCAGTTAAAATTGGTCCCCAATATTGGAATGCGTGAAAAAATACAGTACAGTACCATTTTGTTTTAATTTCTTACTAAAAGGGGCATCATTGATTAAAATCTACTAGTTGTAGGGTAAAACTGCTTAATGGGTAACTTCTCCTATTAAAGAAAACAAATTGGAAGTTGGCTTTCTAATTGGGCTCTGGAGAAGAGGAAACAGTGCTCTTTTGCTTACTTCTTCTTAATAGTATCTTCTCTCTCTTTCCAACAACAAACTGAAAAGTCATGATCTTTGTTGATAGACTCCCATTTTCTACCGATTCCTCTCAGGTAACTCACTTCATCTTTTGATAACTCTCTAATTCCTGTCTCAAAAACCCCTTTTCCTTTAACATCGCAAAACTCTCTAGGACATAGAAACAACTCTGTTTGGTTGCTTGCAAAATGTAGGAGAAAGATAATTAGTACCATGATATTGCTAAGAATTGTGAGATTAACTTACTTTTGGGTATTGCGTTACTTATAATCGTTTCCAAGCATTCTTTAGAATACCCATATGCAATCTTTGGAAAAGATGGTATTTTGTTTAATCTATCCTGTTGCAGATTATTTGATTGAAGTGGTTATTATATAAAGTTTTTTTTTCTATGATTTTGTACTTATAATTATGATAAATAGGAAAGGGATGCTCTATTAGCTCTGCTGGAACACCCCAAGTTGGTATCTGCCTCAAATTCGTTCAAGGCTATGCAGGAGGTGACGTTCTCAGCATCTAAGGAGTCTGCTTTGCAGGGTCGATGGGTTTATATCTTCCAAAGAGAATTTGCAACAGTTGACCCTGCACGTATAGATGTATGTTCTTTTTAGCTATGCTTTTTATTTGTTATTCTTGGGGAAATGTCTGAGAATGTTCTTACCTGTGAGTTTTTGTAGGATGGATGGATACTGTATCTCAGGCTGTCTTTTGCTATTGCCCCTAGTTTAGCTTATAATGTGACTACTTAATTTTTTCGTTGGTTGATTAAATTTCTTTTCCAAATCTACAATGAAATCTCAGCAGCAATATTTGTGCGGGTATGTTTTTCATTGATGTTTACAGATTGTGATTGCATTACAAACAGTTAATTGTCTTTGTGTTAACACTCTCCAGTCTTATGCAGTTGCCTTTTGGAAAGGGAGTTGTTTCTAGGGAAGAAAAAAAAAACCCACATCTCCCTTATCTTGGAATTGCATCTTATATGCTAGTAAAAAATTAAGGGTTTAGTTGTTAGACTCTTTAGTGTCTATGCTGGTAGGGAGAGAAGGGCAAACAAATAGCTGCATTGCCTCTGAACATAAATTGTGTTGCCAAACTGTTTAGAGACTAAAGTTTTGGACCTCCTCCCTTGCCATTTTGAATTTAAGATTCTAAATGCTAAATATCATAATAACCATGCATAGAGATATTTGTAACCATGCATTTGATGAAAAGCAAATATTTTCAAACCTTTTAGAAACTCAAGTTTGGACTTCTTCTCTTTCCCTTTTTGTAACAAAACATCCTACTTGTTTGATAACTTATGAAAATAAGCATATAAAGAGTCATAAAATGTGGCTTTATCTAGTAATAATGATTTCTCATGGCAGTCCCGTGAATAAGTGTGGCTTTCTTTGATATTTTCAGTCCAAATCCCTGTAATGGACCCTGTTACCATGGGAAACTTGTTCTGAATCTTTACAAATCATCTTATGTTCATTTCTTGTGAGTTTGAAACAAGTTTTGTTCTTCATTCTCTAAATGTTGTATTGATACTCTACAAGTCTTTTTTTTCCTTCTCCTTCCTTGCCTGTTAAGTTTGTTGGCACCGATGAAGCAACTACTTGTGTGGGCCTCGTTATTCGCAACCAGAGAAATGGAATGTAAGCAATTTTACATGACACGGGAAAGTGTTTATAATTTTACCGCCCATGATATTAGTTGTTTTATTTTTTGACACAGCATTTTGGCCTGTTTTGAGTTGCAGGACTTCAGTTGCCCATATGGATTCTACAAAAGTTGTTGATATTGGCCTCACACAAATGTTGTCACTTGTTGCTGACCAAAATTTTGATGTTGACTTGGATGTATTAATCTATACTTTTTCTACCTCACAATTTTGCTTCTTTACTCACGATTTCTCTTCACTGTTTCAAGTATTTTTCTTGAGTAAACCACTGTTGTGATTGTGAAATGCAGGTACATTTGATTGGTGGCTTTGAAGATGTCTTACCTAAAGTCTGGTCCAAGAACCTCTTCTTTTTTATTGATATTCCTGAGATTTAGTTACATCTTCAGAGGCAAAATGATTGAAGTGAATGTATTGCTATTTGTTTGCAGCAAGCTAACGACTCCACTAGGTCTAAAACCCAGTCCAAAGTGAATGGTTATTCCTTTCCTTTGTGTACCAAAATAATTGAAACTCTGGGGAAGAGACAGGAGAAGTTTCACATTCAAACTCTCTTTGTCCTTGAGCATAACACCAAAAGGGATTCTCGAGGAAATGCATACCCAGTCTTCAATGGGTTCCTGGTTAGGTTCACCTTTAAAGTTGTTCTTCATTATTTTAACTATCTGCATTGATTTCATTTAGGACATTTTAGATTTCTGATTTATGTGAAGAAACTAATTGAATGAAAAATTATAGTTGGTGCCCCGTGGAAACCATTTTTCTTTGACTTGGAATGCATGACTTGTATAGCAAAGCATCCATTCTCCTATGGTGAGAACTAGCTGGTATAGGACAGCGTTTCTTGGATATACCTTCCTTATTACCAGCTTGCCGTTAGCATCATTTGTATACAAGTTCATGCTGAAGATCTTGTAAATTCACTGTAAGACCATGGTGAGTGAAGGGCTGGTGATCTAGAGGCTAATACTTATTCATTAATTTGTTTGGCTATTGAAAACTTGAAACCAAGCAACTACAAGTAATATGTTGCCGGCTTTGGTGTCTTAGCCAAGAAAATACTGAAGTATAAAAGATTGGCCAAAAACTTAGAATTTGATGTTGTAGATGATATGACTGCAAATTGGATGCCTTGAATTCATCAAAAAGCATTCAACCATTTGTTAGTATCAAATGCTGTCTTTTTATTGAATTTGCAAAATGGTTCCAACTTATTTCAAGTATGATATTATTTCTGTTGGTGGAAGTTTTTCTTTTAATAGATCAACAGTGTATTATAGTTGCTTATCAAAAGTTTATTATGTCTTGTTCTCTTGGTTTTTTTTTTTTTTTTTGGGACAAGATAATGAATAGCATTGCTTTATGTTGTGGAAAATTTGTTGAGATTTGGCAATGTAGAGTTTAATGTTTCTTTGAACTTTTTCAGGTAAAAACATCCTCTGGATCCATCATCCCGGCCAGTTTTGATAGAACTATGAGATGCCCAGATGAAATTGTCAGAAGAATTCGAGTCACTGCATCCTATGAAGACCCCTATTGGAACGGAAAGTTGCTGGAGACCTATGATACTCAAACTGATCGATTTGTTATTGCTCCATGCTCTTGGTAGTGGGTTGCTGCTGAGCTTTTGCTTTTGATTTAAGTACATCATAAATTAAAATTCTCCAAAAGCAGCAGCCTGCATAGTGATTGCAATTATATTTTCTATTCTACAGGCTCTATCTGGTCTCATGCGTGCGGCTAAACTTTATAGTTAATATACCGAACGCCTCTGTAATAGTTGATAATATTGATGTTTGTGTTCCTTTAACTACTGTGCAGGACACTTTGGCAAGTACATGCTGCTTTGACACTGGAAAATTTTTCTGATGAAGAGATCCTCCTTCACTGCTCTACGTCGCCTTCTGCTGAGGGTCTGGATTTCGTGGATAATTTAAGAAGGTAAGCATGTTGTAAAATAATGCCTTCTCACTGTCTATCTTCAGCAGTGGAACATGCTCAAAAAAACGTGTTGATCAATGTCTATTTGTAGTGAATATTAGTGGATTTGAATATTTGTATTCTGAATGCCTAGATAGCATTAGATGAGGTTGCCATTGCAGAAGATGATGCCAGCTAAGTAGAGGAAAAGGAAGGATGCTTTTAACACTTGAATAACCTTGCCAAAAATTACACGTCGACAGTTATGTATTCTGTTATATTCAGGATGTTGAACATTATCAGGATTAAATTGAATGAGACTCAGAGGGTATGGAAGAGAATTTTTGTAAGACTAAGTTTGTTGGGTAGATAGGAAAATGCATAAACTAAGAAAAATCTCAGCAAAATACGATGGATGCGATTAACACTGGGGCTTCACTAAGATAGCTGTTTTTTGTTCCAGAGATAGCTGTTTTTATTGTCTCAAACAAGAAAGCAATTTCTTATAAAATGATTGCCTGTGATTTTATAAAACTTGATTTATTAAATTGATCGAGTTCATCGCTCTTTTATGTTTCTGATTTTGTCCATGTTGAAATAAATGTCTTAGTGAAATAACCCTTGGCTGATTAATAGCAGTTAGGAATGTTTATTAGCCTGCAGATTTCTGTGGAAACAAATGATAAGTGCAGACAAAAAATTTTTCCTTTTCAGGCAGTGGGACTATTTGATTAAAAAACCAGACTGGAATTTGACTTTCCCTCTGAGGCGTCCACGCGTGTTTGAATGGACCACTGATGGATCCTGGAAAAGATGCTTATTTTCACCACAGGGTTCTTGGAATGAAGCTCGAGGTCAAACTTCATTGCAGATGACTCAAGACTGATGAATCTTTTCAGTATCATGGTAAATTTACACATCATTTTTCATATTAGTTTGAAGTTGCATTTTCTTTACTTTAGCCAGGGCATCTCATTTGCAATCTGTCATATATATATATATATATATATATGAGATGGCTAGTTTATGATCATCATCTTTATCCTCTGAAAAACAGTTTGTTTGCTCAGTAAAACTGATGCATTTGGGATAGGTGATGGTCCTATTTTATTGTCCTGGGCGTGGTCATTAGCAAGTACCAACTACCTAAGCATGTTTTTCTTAAGAGTTAACTTTGACTTAGTCCCTGTAGCTTATCAAAACTAATTAATTAGTCTTTGTAGTATAAAAAGATAATAAATGAGTCCTTGACTTGCATTGACCATCTTCAATTTAGTAGTTTTTGGTTCCAAAAATGCTGTTTTTGATCAAATTTTCCCATCTCGCCTGTTTTTCTTTTCTTGTGTCTATTTTTCAGGTAGAAAATAACAAAATAAATTGACAAAAGGACTAAATTATAAACGGATTTTAAAAAATCAGGATTAATTAAACTACAAGTATGAAGATACAATAATTAGCTCTTTTCTTAGTTGCTTTACGTCGTCTCTTGGTGAAGCTGGCCCTAATATGTGGTGGCCATCTGGTCTTCCGGAGGTTTTTCCCATGGACTCTTAAGACAATAAAAAAATTCGAAATCGCTTTGGGTGACACTGGTCCATGGGCTTTGGCCGAATGGGCGCTGTCAGGCCCTGCTTGTAGGGGGTTTTTACTTGAGAATTAAGATGGAACCAAAACTTAGACGAACCAGTACTGTTTTTCTCTTTTTCTTTTATTATTATTGTAAATTACATAGCTTTTAACAGCAATATATTCACGAGTACAATTCATGAAAGCTCGATTAAGGTTTTAAAGAAGATTTTTAATTTGTTCTACGGCAGTAATTAAAACAAGAATAAAACTTATTGGCCTTACAAGACTCCCACTTTCTTCGAGCACTTTTTACAAGATGGATTTATTTTATTTTTCTTAGCTTTTGGAGTTGATTATATAATATTTTAAAGTTGTTTTCAAAACTATTTAAAAAAATCAAATTCAGAAGCTGCAAAATGAAAATTTTTAAAAATGTCATAAAAAAAATAATATTAACATCACATGTTATTACAACCATAGCATTGACTGGCGGATCACACCAAATGGACCCGAGAGAAAAGGTAGAATGATGTGGTTTTGGTAAGTTGATGTGTGATGGGCTCATGTCTTTTTTATATGTGAAACGTGCCAATAATGAAAATTAATGTTAGGTCTGCACAAAAGATTTGAGGGCTAAATGGTCATATCCACAAGACAAGCATCTTGTGTTCGTCTGCTGAAAGAATTGTACAAAAGGAGATGACAATACTAAGCCAGCATTTTTATTATTTTTGTTAAACAAAAATGAGACTGCTTTTGCCCCTTCGAGATATCTCCATTGGCTCATCAGATCGTTCTGCTCTCTAGAAGCAGACATGCCCCTATTCCACTGTTTACAAAGAAAAGAGGTGTTTTGGTTCTAATATTATATTTTGTTATCAATTATTTATATATTTATTTTGTTTGTGGTGCCTGCGTGCATCCTTCCTCTTGTTTTTTTTTCACCATAACATATGGTTTTTTTTTTAAAAAAAAAATTAGGGTTATTTTCAGATGACACTGTTATGTGAAAAAAAAAGTATAAATTTTAATATATTAAATAATTCTTCAAAATTCGAATTCAAAATGTCAACGAATAAAGCAAACTTTCTTGACCACCAAACTTACTCTTGAATTTATAATATATTATGTTAATTCAACTTAATTTTTTGAACTGTGTAAGTTAAGTTAAACTACATTATGAAAACGAAATTCAGATAAAATGTATAGATTTTTTTTTTAAGCATCCATACAGTTAACACAAACACACGTTTGGAGAACAGGAAATAAAAAACAAAAGAGGCTATCCAAAAGAAAAAAAAATTGTAGTTATTGAAGTGCATAGTCTCTACTACTTTTACTGTCATTACTGTGTCATAATCGAATGTTTAAAGATTCAATCATGTGTGATAATACATTATATTATTTTACTAGTAGTCATAGAATGGACTATATATATATATACTCCCAGTATTCTCACTTACAAAATCCTATAACTCCCAAAAATAGATGAATCCCAAAATCCCACGACAATGAAATTATCCGTGTTCGGTTTTGTTCTCGAGACGTGGCCCGACCTGCACCCTATTATCGTAATTAGGACAACAGTAGCTTTTCTCACAAACCTTAGCAAAACGACAATAATAATGGCATTTATTGAAATATACACAAACTCACATGCACAGCATAGTATTTCTATTAGAAAGTAAAGTCACGAACGTTGTTGCGTGCTCCAAAGATCAGATCATACCCCATTAATATAACACGAGAGGCAAGAGAAAATGAGGGTAAATAATTTTGCGCGACTTTATATTTGTCCCCAACCTATAATTCTTTCCTAATTAGATCTCACATATTTAAGTTTAACCAATTGGGTTCTTACCTTATCCAGAATCCTCAATCAGATCCTTCCATGTACAAATTTGACTATGATTGGATCCTCAATCTAAGGATGGGAATAGATCAGTTCGAGACTTTTTTCTTCTTTTTTCTTTTTTGTACGATTCATGACTTAAAATACCTACAATCCCTATTCTGTTTTTTGCCTCAAACTTGGTTGTTCGGATGGATGATTTGGTTCACCTGTTGAATGCTTAAACTCTGATCAAATTTTGATTTATTTTAACAAATGTCATTTTAAAAATCCATAAAAATCACATAAGTTACATAACTATAAAGTAAAATCTCTAAATAAAAACATAAAATAAAGCCTAAATTTTAAATTTACTCCTAAAACGTTATATATATTTCAATAAAAAATAAAAATACCAAATCGAATTCTATAATAGAGGTAGATTTCTCACCAAATTCTTGTATTTTGTATTGATAAAACGAGACAAGATTTCATCCAGTTTTACAAAAATTAACCTAATCGAATCAAGTGTCAATTACTCTGTTTGTACATTAATTTGTACACAATATTAGACATATTCGTGATGTAAGGATGGAAGTTTCTAGATAATAATAGGAGCTTAGTTGGTAAAAAGAATAAATTAGGAACCCAATTGATAAAATGGTTATAAATCAGGGAGTGATTTAAAGATATTGCAAAATGTTTTCAATTACTTTGCATATCTATCCGGATACGAAATATATCAAGCGTGTTAATATATTCTTCCTAGGTTTTTTTTTCCTTTCTTTTTAACAAGCCAAAAACAATACAAGTACGAAGTTGTCTTAATTTTTATTTTTTTTAAAAAAACAAACCCTAGCTGTTTGTTTTTGAAAACAAATGGAGGGACGTGAATATTAGCAGAATTAGCATAGAAAGAAAGAAAAGCTCTCCCAATCAAAACCAATCATGGCAAAACAAGAGGAGAACCACAAGAACCTAAACCAACAAACATGGGGTACGTGGGAAGAATTATTGTTAGCGAGTGCCGTCAAGCGTCATGGTTTCAAGAACTGGGATTCCGTTGCTTTAGAAATTCAAACCAAAAGCTCTCTTCCTCATCTCTTAACCACCGCTGAAAATTGCCAGCAAAAATACCATGACCTCAACCGTAGATTCAATACTAACAATCTCCATATCCACCACCGCCGCAATATCGAAGAAGCAGCACCACCGGATTATCAAGAAGAACAAAAGGATCAACATAACAACATTAACACTGGTAATAATAATAAGTTTGTTAACATTCCCTGGCTCGAAGAACTCCGACAACTACGTGTCGCTGAGCTGAAACAAGAGGTCCAACGATACGATGTTTCCATCCTGTAAAAAAAATTATTCTCTTTTCATATTTTTGTATTTATTTTATATTTTTGTTTACTCAGATCTGAAACAAAAATTTATATTTGTTGACAGTACTTTGCAATTGAAGGTGAAAAAATTGGAGGAAGAGCGAGAGAGAAGCGTTCAAGGAGGAGATAGCAATACAGAGAAACCAGATCTGAAGCAAGAGAAGTCGGAAAACAAGAAGCAACATGAATCGGGGAAACCGGTTACGGTTTCAGGCGAGGAGTCGGACCGGGAGAACCGGTCGGTGAATGAGTCGAATTCGACCGGTTCCGGTGGGAAGGGTGGAGGAGAGGATGCGGTGGGGGAATTGGAGAAAGTTGATCCGGTTATGAGCGGGTCGAATAGGAAAGTGCTGGAGGAGGAGGAAAGGGGTGGTGGTAGTGGTGGTGGAGGAGGAGGGGAGGAGGAGTCGTGTGAATTGGGTGATTCCGGGACTCAGTGGAGTAGTGAGTCTTTGAGTTCGGCGAGGAAGAGGAAGAGGAAAGGGAGGGAGAGGAAGGAGGTTTCAGGAACAGGCGGTGATGAAACGGTGGTTTTTGGTTCGGAGAAATCTGAACCGTTGGTTGGGTATTTTGAGATGATTAGGGCCCACACAAACGGTCCTCTATTTGAAAGCCTGCTTGAAAGCCAGGTACGTATGGGCTTTTCTTTAAATATTTTCCTTTTCTTTTATGCTTTTTATTTGACCTATATAACTTTAAATAATTTTATTTTTATTGAGTGGATTAAATTTACACGCTTGCTCGGGTTGCTACAATAATCGATAATCAATATCGTTGTTAAATAATTAAATTTAGTAGTTTAATATGGATATTGATATTTTACTGATGACACTTACTATTTTAAGCTAATCTCACCTTATAATTACAATTCTAATTTTTTTCAATAATCATTATATCTTCCTATAAAAATAGCGTTTGATGTTCCTCTTATTTATTATGCTTTATTATTATTATTATTATTTGTTAAGAATGAAGGTCTAATTAAGATATAGAAAACTTTTTTCTTTTTTCGGTAAACCTAATTTTTAGACCTTTCTTGTAGGAGGATTTCTTCAAATAGTACGTAGCAAATTTTTATTGGTCAACAACTTGGGACCATATATATATATATATATTGGGACCGTTTTGTTTTCTCGTCTTTTCTCTTAGTCATATATATTCCTTTCTTTTCGCTATTGTCTTGTATGATAAAACAACCTAATTCTCCTCCAAAAAATTCTGGATTAGATAATTCTTAAGTTTTGAATTTATTGAAAAACAAGAAATCAACGATTTTCTTAAGGTCAAACCTAAATTCATGCAACGTGAATAGCGGTTCTTTTAGTGGTTGTTAGTTCATAAATCATCACCAACCCTGATAGATAAGCCATCCCGTCTCCCATCCGTCTATTTTATTATTTTTTTCAAGTGAAATAAGCTACAACCGCATTTTAGCTTCTGGGCCCACAATATTGTTTCCTTATCCATATGGTTCCGCTTTTAACTTTATTCCCATCCAAAGAAAGATTATCGCTTGGCCCAGTTCATGTGTGAGCCATTCCTTTTATTGGGCTCACTTGAATTGGGCCTGTGCAAAAATTTTGCCGAGCCCATCTTTTAAAAGAGTAGAGATTTTTGATGCAGCAATGCTTCTTGTTTGTTCAAGTTGCGCTTGCAAGTGATCTTTTATAGAAACAATTGATAAGTTCATGACCATATTTAATACTCCAGGAAATGGAAGTGTATAAAGACATGATCCGGCAGCATATGGATTTGGAAGCAATACAAACAAAGTTTGAACAAGGCACCTACTCTTCTTCAAACCTTTTGTTCTTCCGAGATCTTTTGCTTCTCTTCAACAATGCTTTAGTTTTCTTTCCCAAACACTCTGTCGAATCACTGACTGCCTACGAACTCCGATCCCTTGTATCAAATGAAATGAGAAAAGAACCCCAAAAGTCTGATTCTACTGTAGCTCCTGAAAATATTCCACCCCCACCCAAAAGTGAGCTTGAAAGATCAGATTCGTTGCTCGCTAAACACAAGTCTTCCATTCCTACTATAGTTTGTCGTAAACGTAGTTCAATTTCTGCTAAGCCTTCCTCTTCTAGCTTAGGGCAAAAGATTGAGCAGCAACAACAACAACAACAACAAAGCAATGAGAACAAACCAGTTAATGATTTGAGGTCGCCTACTGTTGAGCAGGGTATACTAAAGATGAAATCTGAAGAGAAGCCTGTAACCGGTGCAAGAAGTACACGGAGGGGTAAGAAGAATCTTGTGAAATCTTCCGGTTCTCCTCCGAGCAAGAAGCAAAATAAAAGCCCTGACACAAAAGCTGCTGTACCCGATAAGCCGGAAACTCCTAAAACCGAAAAGAAGAAAGGCGAGGCATTAGCATTGGAGAAGAAAAAAGTGCAGTTGATTTCTTGAAGAGAATAAAGAAGAATTCTCCTGCAGAAACACCAAAGAAGAATAGTAGAGGAGCTGGTAATGGTGGTGGAGAGCCAAAAAAGGAAGGAAGTGGCGGGAAAGGAGAGAAAGGGAAAGAAAGAGCGCTAAGGAGAAGTAGTGATAAAAAACAAGGAAAGCAGGAGGGTAGTCCCTCAAAGAGGAACGTTGGGAGGCCATCGAAGAAGGCGACAGAGGTGAGTAGGGTTTCAGGAAAGCGTGGGAGGGACAGTGGCGGAAAGGAGGCAGCAAAGAGGCCTAAAAAGCGGTCTAGGAGGTAAACAGTGGTCATAAATGACTGCTGTGGCTTCTTCTGTATATTATGTAGTGTAGGGTTTGATCACTCGATCAGTTAGCTGTTAGTAGATCGTTTAGTCACTGTAACATTGTATCAAATCTAATTCTTTTTACACTTAGTATTAGTTGAATTGAAAAGCATAATTTGTTTTGCCACCATTTTTGCTTTGTTAGTCATTTACATTCTGCGCTATTCGAGGGTGATCATTATTTCGTTGATCAACGGATCTTACAAGAATTGACCTTCGATTCACTGACGGGTTTGCCTGTGATTCATGAGCTAATGATAATTAGTGAGGATGATAAGCATACAAATAGAAGACTATTGCACTCAAGTCCTCTGTTTAATTTCGTGACCGAACTGATAATTATCGGTTAATGACACTCCTGATGTTCTTGTTATGACAATCTCTAACTTGACTCAAATTTCCATCACAGTAAGTATGAATTTTATAAGACCTGGACTAGTTTAAAAAACATCGGCAATCGATACCCCTGAATGTACCATCAGTTTGAATTATTCTGTTCCTCTCACCAAAACCTGCAATAATAGAATGATGGTGATTATATCTTCCAAAAAAAAAAATTATGAATTGGGACATTTAAATAACAGATTCAATTGTTCATTTGATTTAAAAGTGATCTCTTACCCATGGACCGTCATCATCCAAATCAGGAACTGTAGAAAGAAAATTTGCAGAAAAGCACGTCCACATGAACCAAAGGTCTGGTTATTTCTAGAGTTGATAGATACTGCAAGAGAAAAACAGCTAAAAATGAACATGAGCAGAGACATACACAATTTGAGATCAGCGAAAGAAACAGGGTGGCAAAAACTAAAGATCCAAATTTCACGCAGGGTTGGTAGAGGGTGAGCGCTTTTGTTGCCATCCTGGCATCTGCATCACCTTACTAACTCGGAACATTCTTTTCTTCTCGCACCTATGGATGATGAAGCCATAACAATCAGAATTCAAAGTCCTATTTCTCTGCATAATCTGTTTCCAGCGTTTCTGGTATGTTATGTCTGAATGGTTCTGACACCTTGGCATTATTCTCATGAATCGCTGGAAATTTCTGTTCTGGCCTAAACTTTACCTACGAAGAGCAGTGGCAATTTCATTAGACTGTTGAAAATTTAAGCCACCCTTGGCAAACTTATCGAGCTCAAGAATAAGTTGGTAACAATCCTGCATGTACAATTTGCAAAATTCCAACTTAAATAAATATGCGTCTGTGGGAACTTGCAAAATTGAAAAACCTCTGGATTCGTAAGTCTCGACTGCAAATAAATTAAATTCTAAAACGTTAAACATGGCTTCTTAGCATTTCGCAGTATCAATGTATGATCCGTTGGTGGAGGAGAAGCATACCTCGATTGCCATACAACCTCCTTGGCCCAGATTTGGCTGCATTGCATGAGCAGCATTGCCTAGAAGAGTTGCCCATCCAATCCCCCAGTTGTAGATCATGTCTCTATCGCATATGTCCCTCCGTAAGATCGTATCCTCTGGTGTTTCTGATATTAGTTCAATCACTTCCTTGCACCAATTTCCAAACAAATTTAGCTGCCTCTTCTTTTTTCCTGAAGTATTTGAAGATTTCAAAATTCCAGTTGGAGCCACGGGTTGAGCATATGTCAAAGAAATCATTTCATTGTAAGTATGCAAACGTGCAAGAGAAAGATTTGCCTCTTGGAGAATCTGTGTTATGAGGCAGCTCCTTGTGGAAAGCTTACCATTGCTTCTTTCCGTTTCCAACATCCGCAGTAGCAACAAAGTAATGTTTCAATTCTAAGAACACCCTATGCCTTCAAACCAGGCACCATAAAAAAAATCTCAATATTCAAACATATTGGCTAACACTATCTACAATCTTTTTAGACCTGATTAGACCGATCACAATTACTATTACTATATCTCTAAAAGACATTGGTGGTTTGAACAGTGAGTTTTACTGTTCACCTCCTTATAAATCACTATTCGCCTTTTTATTTTTTTTATAATTTCTAAATTGTTTTATTTTGATCCCTAGAATTTTAAAATAATAATTTTAACCCCTTAGCTGGTGCACTATGCTTGTTTTTTTTTTTTTTTTTTCTCATCAATTTATGTTTTTTTTATTTAACTGGATGTTAAAATTTTGAAAAATCAATTGTTATTTTTTTCACATAAAATGACGATTATATAATATATACGATATGTTTTTAGATTTTAAAATAAATATATACTATTCTTATTGTATAAAATTGATCTTTTCAATTTATTATAAAAATTCACATCAAGTTAATTTTAATTTTTATTTTTTTCATATAAGCTGACGATTATATAATATGTACGATATGTTTAAAATTGATCTTTTCAATTTATTATAAAAACTCACACCAAGTTAATTTTTATTCTTATTTTTATATTAAAAATTAACTATACATCTTCCAACATAATAAAAATTATTTACTATAAATATTTTTTTAACATTATAGAACCAATTTATTTGAAATAAATAATTAAAATAATTTTTTAAAGGAACCAACCAATTATTCAAGTATAGTTTTTTATGCTAATTTTATTGATTATTTTGTATATATATATATATATATATATATATATATATAGATCAAATACATATACTTGAAAAATCTTCCCACTAACATTAAATAAGAATAAAATTTTATTTTTTCATTGGTTAATTTTTATGCAATTCTATACATTAAATGTAACTTTATTTTTTGAATACATTCTTTAAAAAAAAATTAATAGTTTTTCTAATTCTTAATTAATATTTTAGGTTTAAATTATTACAGGTTTTTATTTAAGAATCCTTGAATAAAGAAGAACAAATCATGTTTTTTAAGTAAAAATTTTATGAAAAACACACAAAAAAATAGTTATAATGAAATACAAAACTAATGAAAAAATTTTAAAATTTTGAAATGATTTTGTTCTATCTACTCGTATTGTTGCGAGTATTATTTCGAAAATTAATCTTCTCATCAGCATTAAAAAAGAAATTTTTTTTTCATTTGTTAATTTTTGTAAAACTTTATCCATTAATTATAAATTTATTTTTTAAAATAAAATATTATAAAAATTATATTTTTAAAGTTTTTAATTTTGATATATATATATATATATATATATACTATGATATATATATATATATATATATATATATATATATATATATATATATATATATATATATATCCATAAAAAAAATGATTTATATCTTTTTAAGCAGAAAATTTATAAAAAAAACTATTTAAAAAATTAATTAAATAAAAATTTATAATTTAAAATTTTAAAATTTTAAAGTAATTTTATTCTATCTTACTCGTAGTGTAGCTTGTGCAACCGGCTGGTAGTGTATATATAAGGTAGGAAAAAGTTTGCCGGGCCATTGTAGCATGTACAGTCCGAATAGTTTGCATCGGCCTGCCCGAATAGTTTTGACCGAACCAACAGTATTACTTGCAAAATATAATAACTACTAAGAACGAGAAGGAAAAAAAAAAAAAGAATTTATCAACGAGGAGAATCATCCTATTGTTGACCATATCCCATCTGCCCCAGCAAGAACATCACCATCATAATGCTGTCCATCCTCAAGGATCACTGTGACCTGTTATCCACGGAAAATTGCCGGTGATGGTTAGTACATGAGCTTGTTGAATCAGAAATTGAGATTTTAAGACAAGATCATACCATATTAGAGTATTAGATGAAATCAACTACTTTAGATTTGCTACTTCCTATGTCTAAACCAACTGCATTGAGTAATATGTCTTGCAGTACCATTCTAGAGATTAGTATGATAAGAGGAACCCCTCTCTTTACAGCAGGAGTTGAAAGATCAAACTTGATAAACCTACAGCAAGAAATGATCAATTGCAAATAATAGATACAAGAAATTTTCATTTTATCTAATTAGTCATACCTATATCGTTACAAGAACGTCTTCATCAAGACTTGAATTTAATACATAAACACATTTTCAAGACACCTTATAATTTTCAACAAATCAAAATACTGGACTTATGTTTTCAAGATAATTTATTTATCACGGCTTCTAATTTCAATAATTAAATAAAACCATTCAAATAATAAAATAAAATAAAACCATACTTTTAGAATTTCATGGTCCTACATTAGAAAAGAGTGAAAATGTTTGATTAAGTAGAATGATATGTGTCCACGAAGGATACAGTTGTATGCCTGGGAGAGCAAAACGGAGTGATAATGTCCCAGATAGGCAAGAGAAAAAAAGACTAACGTATAAATTAGAAGTCGTAATGCCAACGTCCATAAAACAAAATAGAATAGAATAAATTTTTTCCATTTATGATACTCTTCACACAAATCACTATTTATGATGATATTGTAATTTTCAAAATATTTTAATTTTATATACAAATTACATGTGCTTAGGAATGTTATATTTGATATTTAAATTTTTATACAAATTTATTTTGATTTAGAGTTTCATTTGTATTGTGGTTTAAATTGTTAAAAGAGGTAGATGGAAATCTTAAAATATTTTGAATGTTTAAGTTTTATTTTGGTTTTTATGTCCTTTGAACTTGTCAAGATGAGTTTTGAGTTTTTAAACGAATTTATTTATCTTATTGTTGTGATTTTAAGATGATTTGGGACAAAAATTATTCTAAAATTTGGTTTTGGAAGTCGAAAACCAAAAAACACCAATTTTCAGGTGAATTTTTCAGCCAACCAGACTTGATCGAAACTAGCAGTCGGACGACGCGCCAACAACTCGTCCATCTATTTTCTTTTTTATTAAATAAAAAAAAAAAAAGAAGAAGCTTGCTCGCACATGCCTCACTTGGTTTTTTTCCTTTTTTTTTTTCAAGTAACTTTTTATTTATTATTATTGAATTTTTTGCAAAAACTTATGAAAAATCCATCTTTTTTTTTTTTTCACACAACCTGACAAAAAAGAGATATATATGATATATTTTTATATTTTAGATTGAACATATATTTTAGATTATATTAATCTTTTATTATTTAAAATTTATTACTTCAATTTGTCTTTTCTTATGAAAATTCTCATCTGATTAATTTAAAATTATATTTATTGATAATTTTGATTTATTGTTCTCTATGTATAGATTTTGGAATAAATTTTTAGAATATGATTTTTTTCTTTTTTAAAAAATAGATTGATATGATTTATATAATTGATTCTTAAAGTTTTTAAATTATAGTAGCATGATTAATATACGGATGTTATTTGTCTTAAATACACTTTTTAGATTAAAAATGTGTTTTAGATAATTTGTCTTGATTTTTTAAAAATATATATTTTTAAAATAGTTAATTAATAATTAAAATTCAAATTCAGGAAATAAAAGAGAGATGATATCTTTACCTATAAGGCTTGTGCACAAGGATAAGCCATGTATGGCTTAGAAATAAAAAAAAATATTTAAGGAAAAAAATTCACGTGTTTTATTAGCTTTTTCTTTATATAATCAAAATATATCAAAAATTAATTTTGTAATAATTTTTATTTTAATCTATTAACTTTAAATATATTCAATATATTCCTTACAAGTTAACATTTTTTCTTTATATTTTTTGTTTTATACTCGTAAACTTTAAACTCACTCGAGTGTAGTTATGATATATAACAAAAAATATTGAATTGTTTTTTTTTTTAGAAATTAACTATGCAACTACCACAACACCAAACATTTACTATTTATTTATTTATAGATATTTTGAAATCAATTTCTTTCAAATTAAATAATTGAATTTATGTTTTGACGTAACTGCTCAATAATTCAAGTATAGTTTTTTATTCTAATACTATTCATTTTTTTTGTGAATAAATACATATAAAAATAAAATGCACATGTTTTCCATTAATATGTTGAAGATGTGATCCACTTATACGTGGATGCAACTGCATTTTTATTTTGGGGAGTCAATTCACTGGTTAGTTCTTTGAATGGCATGAACTGCTGCTAAGTTCCTAAACATTGTGGAGTCACTCTATTCAAGACGATATTGCCTTATAGAACAAGTACTGGCTAAACCAAATTTGGAAATGGAGAAGGATTTCTCCACTTTTCCTAGTTTTTGAAGCGAGATCCCAATGCATAAGGTTTGGACAAGGTCAGATGGCAATCAAGATAATAAGGCTCTGCTTCTCATCTCTCTTTGCATGTGAATCTTGAATGTTGTAACTTGCTTTTTAAAATCTAACAACGTAGCTGTTTCTTTTAGATCTAAACACAGCTTAAAAACCAGCCTTCCTTGTAGCTTGTTGGTTTGAGTTTAACTCAAAAGGTCAAGGGTTCGAGGCTGGTCACAAAGAGAAAAGCTTTAAAAAAATCAAAGAAATGAAAACGAGAAGACATGTTAGATTTTTTTCCAGGCTGTTAATTTGTCGAATATTTCTGTTGGCTGCCTTACCAGCTTTTGTATATATCTGTAGAAAAATATATCTGACAGTATCTTCCAATTTAATATTTCCCCCTGATAGCAATTTTTTTTTTGTTTTTTTTTGGGATCCTAAGGTATCTTAAGCTTAAAGGTTAAGCTCCAGACTAATTCATTGTTGTTTTATCAGATGTAATAGGCGAGAACAACTATCTAAAAAAATTTTCTACGTATATAAGGACTTGAATCTGAGACTACTTGCCTAAGCGACTACAGCTTCTTTCGTTCAAGCTAAATGGATATTAATAGCAACTTTTCCACTCCACTGATCCTTCTCTACTCCTGTAACGCTACTGCTTCCCATTTCTTTCTGTCTCTCTTGCACTCTGCTGCATATGGCAACCGATCTGAGGCTTGTTTATCCAGCTCCTGGAGCTAAAACCTATCAAATAAATCATAAATCTACTTCTTTATTCTCTTCCTCAAACCACAATATTACACCTTCAAGAAAGTCCCACCATAGAATCCAAAGCAGCAAGTTTGGAAGCTTTCTTGACCTGATCAAACCTGTATCGGAACCCAACGTGTTGGATTTTGATCACCTCTCATGGTTTGATCCTGCTGATCGTAGGTTTAGTTGCTTTGATGTGATCATTATTGGGACAGGACCGGCTGGCCTGCGTCTTGCCTAGCAAGTGTTCCATAATGGAATTGAGGTATGTTGTGTTGATCCTTCACCACTTTCAATGTGGCCAAATAACTATGATGTTTGGGTTGGTGAGTCTGAGAGCTTGGGGCTGGTAGATTGTATGGACAAGACATGGCCTGTGACTTGTGTCTATATGGATGATCACAAGACCGGGTATTTAAAAACCGTCCTTATAGTCGTGTTGATAGGAAGGAATTGAAGACAAAGTTGTTGGAGAAAAGTGTTTCCAGTGGAATTAGATTTCGCAAGGCTAAGGGTTCGAAAGTGGAGCATGAGGAGTTTGAGTCTTCAATTGTTTGTGATGATGAGACTGAGCTAAAGGCTAGCTTAGTTGTTGATGCAAGTGGTCATGCTAGTCCTATCGTTAAGTATGAGAAGTCAAGAAACCATGGATATCAGATTGGTCATGGCATTTTAGCTGAAGAGGATGGTCATCCATTTGACTTGGATAAAATAGTTCTTGTGGATTGGAGAGATCCTCATCTGGGAAATGAACCTAATTTACGTGCTAGCAATTCAAGAATTCCAACCTTTCCGTACGTTAGGCCATTTTATTCAAACTTGGTATTTTTAGAGGAGATTTGCCTGGTTAGTAGGCTGGCGTTATCTGACATGGAGATTAAGAGTAGGATGGTAGCAAGATTAAGGCATTTGGGAATCAGAGCGAAGAATGTTGTAGAAGATGAGAAAGCTTCAATTCATCCCTCCAAGTGTGATGGCTTTTGGTGAGACTTGAGGGATAGTCCACCCTTAAACTGGGTACATTGTGGCTAGAACAATAGCCTTAGCTCCAGTTGTACGTAGCTGATGCCATTGTAGAGTGTCTTGACTCAACCAGAATGATCAGGGGAAGACCACTTTATCATAGAGATGTGGAATGGCTTGTGGCCATTAGAGAGGATGTGTGCAAGGGAATTTTATTCTTCTGGGGTGGAAACTTTTTTGAAGCTTGATCTTAACGGAATTCGGTTATTCTTTTATGCTTTCTTTGAGTTGGGTCCCTATTACTTTCAAGGGTTCCTCTCCTCAAGATTATCTCCTAGGAAGCTTGCTTTATTTGGCGTATCTTTATTTTGTAATGCATCAAATCCATGCAGGATTGAAATTGTTAGAGTGTCCTGAGCCCTGGTTAAAATGATGGGCAATTTAGCACTTGAAATTATCCAAGGATAGAAAGTTGCAGTTTAACTGAATAAAAATGATTTTGGATTTACATAAACAAAAAGAAAAATGATTATTGATTTCATTTTTCATCTCTTGCTAGGTAGATCTGTAGAAATATCCTGTGATATGTTGAAAACTTATCCATTACTTCGTTGAATGTTTTAATGCATCTGATCGCTTCGGTTTAGAGATTGTTGGGCTTTGGCAGTAGCTGTAACGAGAATGGTGTGGCTATAGAAAAACGTTTAGTCAAAGAGCTGTTGATATAGAAGTTCCAGCATAATAAATGGGAAAGGAAACTAGACAACCTTGAAAAGTGAGAAAAAAATTGGGTAAGAAGAGCTGTTGGAGATGCAAGAAGTTCAAGAAGAGGTTAGAAGAATCCTGCAAAAAGCTTCTAGCAAGAAGCGAACAAGAAGCGAAATACAAGCCCTAACAACAAAGTTGGTGCACCCACGTAAGCCTAAAACTCCGAAAACTGAGGAGAACAAAGAAGAAATTCTTCGGCACACACTGAAGAAGAATAATAGAGGAGGTGGTAATGGTGGTGGAGAGTTGAAGCAGACGGAAGTGATGGAGAGGGAGCGAAAGAGAAAGCGTGTTGCAGAAAATTAGTGATACAAAAACAAAGAAAGCAGGAGAGTAGTCCCTCGAAGAGGAATGTGGCAGACCATCTAAGGAGGCGGTTGAGGTGACAAAGCCAGAGAGGAGGCGGCAAAGAAGCCGAGAAAGCAGTCTAGGAGGTATAGATTGGTCATGAATATGGCTGCTTCTGTATATCATGTAGTGTAGTGTAACGTTTGATCAGTCTATCATTTAGCAGTTAGTTGATCTTTTGGTCAACGTAACATTGTATCATTTCTAATTCCTTTCACTCAGCATTAGTTGAATTGAAAGCATTGTTTGTTTTGCCAACATTTTTACTAGTCATTTGCATTTCATGCTATCCGAGTGTGATCACTGTTTTATGAACAAAGGATCTTACAAGACTTAACCTTTGATTAACTGACCCGTTGGCTTGTTATTCATAACCTAATGATGATTAGTGAGGATAATAAATATACAAAAAAGACGACTGTTGCACTCAAGCCCTCTGTCTAATTTGAAAGACTGAACTAATAATTATCTGTTAATGACATTCCTAATGTTCTTGTTATGACTGCTCTTACTTGACTCGAATCTCCATCAAAGTAAGAAGGCATTTACTAAGAATTGGACTAATTTCAAAAACATAGGTGACGTCCTAGAATGTACCATCAGTTCAAATTCTTCTGTTCCTGTTTCACCAAAATCTGCAAGAACAGAAATGACGATGATGATGTTTCAAAATAGTTTTACGATGTTAGACATATATAAGAGATTCAGTAAATGTAAAAGTGATCTCTCTTACCCATGGCCAACCATCATCCAAATCATGAATTGTGGCATGAAAATTTGTAGAAAAGCAAGTGCCACATGAACTGAAGGTTTGGTTATCTTTAGAGCAGATAGATGCTGTAACAGGAACAACTGCTAACAAATGAACTTGAGCAGAGTTGCTTAATCCGAGATTGGAGAAGGAAACAGTTTGGCAAAAACTTACAGACAAGGGGCCAGATCCGAATTCCATGTAAGGTCGATAAGCAGTGAGCACTTTTGATGCCATTCGGCTGGTTGCATGTACTGTACTAATTCGGAACATTCTTTTCTTTTCGTACCTATGCATGATGAAGTCATAACAATCAGAATTCCTTTTCTCTTGATAAAAGTACTAATTAAATTTGTTGCCTAAAATCAATTGTACTTAAGTGATCGACATATAATGGCTATTACTTCGATTTTTAACTGATGCTAGCAAGCTAAGTGAAACATATTATGATTCTTTACGTTAAATGTGGTTCCATACGATTTTGGTATGCCTGAAGTTCTGAAACCTCATCAAGTGATTGGTATTATTCTCATGAATCATGGGAAATTTCTGTTTTTGGCTATAAACTTTACCTTTGAAGTGTCGTGGCAATTTCACTAGACTCTGGAAAGTCTAAGCCACTCTTGGCAAACTTATCGAGCTCAAGAATAAGTTGGTAACAGTCCTGCATATGTGATTTCCCAACATAATGAGCCTATGGCAACTCATATAACACATCTTTGAAAACCTATTCATATTTATGGGTCTCAACTACTAATCAATAAGATATTGCTTCTCGGGATATAGAATCTAAAGGGATGAAGCTTGATTATGAATGAACATACCTCAATTGCCATACAACCCCCTTGCCCCAGATTCGGTTGCATTGGATGAGCAGCATCGCCTAGCAGAGTCACCCGTCCAATCCCCCAGGCATAGATCATGTCTCTGTCATAGATGTCCCTCCGTAGAATCATATCCTCCTGTGTTTCTGATATTAGCTCGACTACTTCCTTGCACCAATTTCCGAACAAATTTAGCAGCCTCTTCTTCTTTCCTGCAGTGCAGCATTTGAAGACTAAATTTTCAGTCGAAACCAAGCATGTCAAAGGAATCATTTTTATTGCAAGCATACACATGTGTGGTTCAGAGATTTGCCTCTTGGAGGATCCGTATTATTAGGGGGCTCCTTGTGGAAAGCATACCATTGCATCTTTCCATTTCCAACATCTGAAGCAACAAAGTACTGGTTGAATCCTATGAACACCCGGTACCTTCAAACCAGACACCAACGCAAACAATCTCAATATTCATACATTTTGGCTGACTTTATATATGGATATGTCAAAACTGAAAGGCTATGAAAACTCTTCTAAAATCTGAAAGGCTATGAAAACTCTACTAAAATCGAATATTATCAATATGATGAGACCGATTCACATACCCAATATTATCAATATAAGATGGGACAAAGTTTGCCAGTCCACTATAGCATGTATAACCTGAATATTTTGCATCCTCCTGCCCGAATAGTTTTGACCGAACCTACATGATCGGCAAGACATATATAATGTTAAGAGGGTAGATCATAGAGAAAAATTATGAAAGAGGAGAATCCTACTTTTGACCATATGCCATCTGCCCCAACTAAAACATCGCCATCATAATGCTGTCCATCCTGAAGGATCACTGTGACCTGTGATCAATCGAAAGTTCCGGTAATCACTACATGAAGTTCTTGAATCAGGAATTGAGATTTTAAGACGAGATCATACCTTATTAGAGTCTTGCACGAAGTCAACAACTTTAGATTTGTTGCTTACTATGTCTAAACCAACTGCATTGAGTAATATGTCTTGCAGTGCCATTCTACATATAACAGTGGTAACAGGAAGGCCTCTATTTATAGCATGATTCAAGAGATTAAGCTTAATAAACCTGAAATGAGAACAAGAAGTGATCAATTCCAAATGATTAATTTCCCATTTCTCTAGCTGCAAAACTGGCCAAGAAAATTTTGAAAATTTGTTATGCATCAGTCCACTCTTCACATAAAGCATGTCAACTTTCCCAATCAAAGCAGAGTGATACAAACTGTAAAGCAATAAATAAATAAAACTCATTTGCCTCAATAGCCATTAGCATCGATGACCTACTATTGCCTTTGCAAGATAGGAAAACTAAATCAAAGATTTAACCAAAGTCTGTAAAAGGAGCAACATTTACATACCAATTACCTGAGACACCATCTGCAATGCCATTGATCCTGTTACCAGTAACACACCCAGCTTCCATAATTTGTTTTGCAACATCCCCATCAATAACCTGCAAAACTGCCAAAGCACTACTCAATAATTGAATAGGACCCCTGTGCCTACCCTCCCCTCTTACTGCACTCAAATCCTTCTCAAACACCTTCACATCAAATCCTCTATGTTTTGCTGCCAAAGCCAGAACCAACCCCCCTATACCCCCACCGGCAATCAAGATCCTAAGCCTCCTCTTCTCATCCCTCTCTACACATGAATAATCTTGAATATCATACCTTGCCTTTTCACATCTGACAACATAGCTGCTTCTTTTGAATCTAAACTCAAGAAAACTAGTATGGCAATTCTTGTACTGGTAATAGCTTGAACTGAGGCAATGAAGTGCTGCCATTGGTGATTTGATAAAAAAAAAAACAAAAAGAACAGGTTGGTCACTTGGGCTTTCTAGTGTGCAATGCAAATATATAAGCGGCTACTGTTTTGTACTTTTGCACCATTTTTCGGAGCAAGAGTCGGGATCTTAAATGTACTGGTACTATGAGAAGTGATCACACACCCTAGAAAGCATGGAAAATGTCCAAAGAAAAACGTGAGCAGATAGAGCTGAGCCAGCAAATTCATGCGTGCACGCAAACGAAGACAAGAAGCATGACAAATAAATGTAGGTAGAATTTCTATTAAAAATTCTTTATGAAAAAATAAAATAATCCTTTGATTCTTCTCTCAAAATAATCCTTCAAGAATGAAAGGGATCTGATGATGTTCTGGCTTTAATTTGGTAGAAGGTTAAAATTAAATCTTAAACAATGTATATTTGAGCGTCCCACTAAACATATTTAGAGATAGATGGCTGTGAGAAATTTTATTATAACTAATGGTATATATAGTAGTTATTTCATGAATTTATTTAAAAATATATATATAAAATAATAATAAGAGAAAAAAATAAAAAATTTTAAATGAATGTAAAAATTTTTTTATTTTTAATAAATATAAATATAATTTTTTTATATTTATTTTTTAAAAAAATAAATTTATAAAATAATTACTATATAAGTAAATAATTACTTGATGTCTGTGGCTGTGGCTGTGAGTTATAAAATTTCTCGTTAGCTGTGGCTGTGGCTGTGAGTGCTTGCACTCGCATGTTCACAACTGGGCCAGTGATTGATTGATTGACAATATATTGTCAATAAATAAAGATGACAACATCTAGCTGCCCGCTAAAGAATGATTCTCTTGCCGATTTGCGTGCGTGAGGAAAGTCGGGCATCTTTAAGACTGCGACGACTTTATCTTTTAACTAGATAGTTACCCACGGTTCCGTCTGAAGATGAGCATAGGTGTCTGTAGGGTGTTCACTGTTCGATATCAATTTTAATGTAGTTTTTTTTAAAAAAATTAAAATAAAATATCAAATCAAAATAATTTTAGTTTATGGATTCGGATTTGATTATTTTTTAAAAAATTATTGAAAAACAATAATATATATATTAAGTTAGATCACTTGATGCATCTCGAAATTAAAAAACACTTCTCTCCTAAATGTGTTTTCTCTCACATCCTCCTATGTGTTCTTTTATCTCTGCTATAAGTCTGAATGTACACAAAATAATAAAGACTTTGATAGATTTTCTATCGTCTCAAATTTAAATCTTATTGAGTGAACAATTTATTATTTGTTTATCTATCAATGCATTTATTATTTTTTAAAACGTAACTTAGGTTCCTAGATAGTAGTTCACAAACCAAAAAAAAAAAAAAAAACTCACTCTAAATAGAAATTTCAGAAATTTAATAACATCGAGTCATTTATAAAAAAATAAAAATAAAACAAGTAAAAACCAAATTACCGAATACCAAAACCGAACCCAAAAACCAAATAACATTTCAGTTCTATTTTTGTTATTTTTTTAAAAAAATTCGATTAACTAAAAATCGTTCAAAATATTTCAAAACCGGACCAAATAACCGAACAAACACCCCTAGTTATCTAAATCCAATAAAATGCATCTAATGAATTAGACTCCATTAGTTACTAGTATTAATATTGTATATCACGGTAATATTATTTTGTTGTTTTATTTCCATTCATAGCAAACAATAAAAATAATATAATTCAATATATGTGTATATGTAAAATGTAAAAACTGGATGGGTTAAAAATATTTTTAAAAAACATGAGGGACCAAAAGTATCTTATGAAAAATGAGGGATCAAAATGAAATAAAATGAAAACATAAGGAGCTAAAATATCTTTTTAAAATATGAGAGACCAAAAAAGCTTTTAAAAACAGAATCAAAATGAAATATAATATAAGATTTGCATATGAATGCTTAAAAACAACAAAAAATTACAAAAATATCATCATCTAAAATTACAAAAAAATGTCACGAATAGTGATTTATAAATGAATGAATAGTAATTATTTGTATTTTTTTAGTTGTTTTTGTTAATAACTTTAACAAACGAGTTATTTCTATAAATATTAACATACGACTCTAATCATTTGCAATAAAATAGCTATCGTGAAATAAATATTATTTTTATTTTTATATTTTTTGAGTAATGGTTAAGAAGTAATGATAAAAGATTTTGTGTTCGTCAAGAATTTTGCCTGTTATGAATAGATGAGAAAATATTTGTTTTAACGTGTAAAACACAATAATATATATATATATATATATATATATATATATATATATATATATATATATCATCTGTTTCTTGAAATTATTTAAAAATTTTCAAATAATGAATAATGAATTTATATTCGACGTAGTTAAAAAAAAAAAAAAATCTATCAGCTCCATCATATCACTTAAAATTATTTAGGCTAAATGGTCCAATCATGCTTTAAACTTTACGTCATTTAAAAACCAATCCTTTCAAACTTTTTATTTTGAGTTGTATTTATTTCTAATTATTTTTTATTTAAAATTGAATCATTATGTTAATTTTCTTCGATTTTAACAGTGCAAGTGCCCATGATTTGTACGTGATTAACTTTTAAAATTTTCAAGCATCTAAATATATACTAATACTTATGGATGTTAATAAAAAAAAAGTCGATGCTCAAGATTACGTCAATGTGAAAAAATAATTATCAAGTAGCGAATAATGGAGTTTTTAATAAATATTTAGGGACTCGTTCACTAAAATTAAATTCTTCTAATATAGATTATTTGAGCACTCTTTTGACGTGAAATTTTATCTTCTTTTAATTATTGACTCTTTTAAAAAATTAATTGCAAAATGGAATTTATTTTTTATATCAAAATCAAATATATTCATTATTTAAGGTTAAAAATGAAAACAAACATGATATTAAATATTACAAAATAATATTAAATTAAAAAATTTTAAAATTAAATACGGTTGACTTTGATTTCGTTCACCTAGATTTTTTGAAATTTATTAAAATATTACAACTGATTTTATAAAGTTATCGTGACAACGCATGAGTAATCATGCCAATGCAACAAACTAAACCCAGACGGACTTTCACTGCTCGTAATAAGTTTTTTTCGAAACTTTAGCAACTTATTAGGCCATTTTAGACATTTCATATTGTTTTAATTTCTATTTTCATTTCAGTCCCCATAGTTCATTTGATGTTACATTTTAGCCCTTACATATAATTTTAGAACAGAGAAGAGAGGAGAGAGAAGCTGGTGAAGATCCTCATTCTTACGTCTATTCAGTTAACAAATGCAATATCCTAGGATGTATCATGATAAGATGAGTTGATTGATATGCATGAAAACCTCTTTTGTAACCGGAAAATTAATGTAGATCAAGCTATAAATTCAATGGCTTTTGATGGGATTTTTTTGTTGTTTTGGAGTGGATTAAATAATAGACTTTGAAGCATATGATGAGTTTTATGAGACTTGGAGGATAATTTTGAGTTGTTCTGAGCAAAAAAAGGGTCACAGCAAGAGGTTTGGAAGTCAGGGGTCAATTTTCTAGCAACCACTTGATCATCAGAGAGGATTAGAGCGAGCAACATGTCACATGCTGATGCCATGCAGCGCGTCATTTGTTTTCGTTTTTTATTATTTTTATTTTGTTGAGAGGACCAGGCGCAGCCAGCCTTAGACACGCATGAGCCTGGCTTCCCAAACCCTGTTGCCTGTGGACCTGACGCACCAGGCGCTATCTTTTTTTTTCTTTGAAATTTAATTTTCTTCGCTTTCCCTTAATCCAAAAAATTTAACTGATGAAAATTTAAATTTACTAATTTATCAATATATTGTGCAAGATTTATTTATCTATTTGATGTTTTGGATTCCATGTTAATAGAGTTTTAGAAAAAATAAAACTCGAAACTAAAAATTCACATATTTTTGCCTATATAAGAGGAGAAATTTTATAATACTTAAGAAGTAATTTCTCTACATAAGAGTAGCACCGAGCAATGTTAGTACAATCTTTTATTCTTTAAAACAGAATTTTTGTGATATATTTATGATATAAAAATATTAATTTTTTCAAAAATTGAAATAGTGGTTTTTTTTTAAAAAAATATAGATAGTTAAGGTTGTTAAAACCCTTTATTTATCACACTTGCACATAATTTCTTATAATTTACTCTCCTAACATTGCACAAGATTCTAACTAGTTCTAGCTATAAATAAACAACACACATAAAAGTTGTATATAAACTGATTTGATAATTATCTTTTCATATTGAGACTTTTTTTTTTTTATTGAATCTCTTTATTCTTTATTTTGTTTTGTTTTCATCCTTACGTTAGAAAATCGTTAGTTGTGAGATGATATGATATTGATGTGGCATGTCTCGCTCTTAAAAAAACATGATACATGTCATACAAAAAATCTTAATAGAGAAATTCAATCAAAATAATTCAAAAAGTACTAGGGGTGATCATTCGTTTTTTGGTTCAATTTTGGTGTTTTTTTTTCTTCGGTTAATCAAATTGGCTAAAACAAAAACCGAAACCGAACTGAATTGATGTTCGATTTTTCGATTAAAAATTGAATTTTTTGGTTCGATTTTTCAGTTTTTGGTTAAAAACCGATTTTATTTATTTATTTATTTATTTTTGTATTTTTCTTCTAAAAATCGAATTATTTTGCTTTTAAAAAATATCAAACTTGCATAATCAAAGATTGCATATTTCACATTTGATTTTATAAGAAAATTATGTATGATTATTATTATTTTTCTATAATAAATTTGTTTCTATTTATATTATAAACTAAATTAGTTGTGCTTCTCATTATTTTTCAATCACGCTATAATTGGTTTTTTTATTAATTTTTCATATTATTTTTTTAAATCTATTTATTTTGTGCATATTTTATTGTTGAATATATAATATGAAAAATCCAATTTTTAATTTATGTTTGTGCCAATTTTAATACAAGGAGACAATTTGTTTTTTATGAGGTTTTAGGATTCACTCATACATAAATTTGTGTTTTTATAAAGAATTTCTTTATCGTAGTCTTTTTTTTTTTTTGTGAGTCAATATAATATAATCAATTATTTTTTATTTCAATAAATAATTAATGGAAAATATTTCTATTTTAAGTAGAAAAAAATCATTAAAGCTATTGTTCTTTTAGTTAAATCCATAGGTGCCTCTTTGATTTTTTTTTTTAAAAAGAGTTTGGGTATGTGTTAAAAAAAAAAAACTAATTCGGTTTTCGGTGCAAACCGAATTTGAAAAAAAAAAAACCGAACCAAAATAATTTCGGTTTTTGGTTTCGGTTTTTTTTTTTTCAATTTTTTTTAAAAATCGAACCAAAATTGTTAATTCGGTTCGGTTCGGTTTTAACCGAATAATGGTCACACCTAAAAAGCACGGTGATCAAACTCTTTTTTAAAAATTTTTATATTATTTTTTAAAAAATACATAATAAATACATAAAATGTATCATATGTGAAACTACTTCGTAGTAAAACTTTGAAATATTTTTTTTAAATAATAAGTTAAATATAATAAATAATAAGTAAAAACAAAAAGAACCTGACATGCAATTGTTAAAAAGATATATGATTACGTGTAATATCGATCAATCATGGATTCCTAATTAATGGGTTTAAGCCTCTATAAAAAAATAAGAAATTTTAAATATTTGATCAATTCAAAGTAAAAAAAAAAAAAAGAGTTGTTTTGTCAAAAAAAAAAAAACTTGGAGCTGCACATATATATTTGATCGATTCAAAGTAAAAAAAGAAAAAGAAAAAGAAAAATAGAATTGTTTTGTCAAAAAGAAAAACACTTGGAGCTGCACCTTTATATATATATATATATATATATATATATATATATATATTAGTCAGCATTGTTGTTATTTTTATTTTATTTTTGACGAACATATTTATACTCTTTTTTAAGGGAGTTTAATTGCAAGTTAAATTTGTTTTGTATGTGTTTTATTATTTTTAAATTATTATAATATTTTTTTTAATATTCTTTAAAATTTTACTTTGATAGAGTCTCACATGTGATAAGTTTTACAGCATTAAAGGTCTTTAAAATACAAACATGAAAATTTTAAAAAAATATAATTTATGTATTTTTTTAAAATTGTTTTTAATGAAGATTTATGTTCTTTAAATTATTTTGATTGAGTTTCTTTATTAGAGTCTTGCGCATAACAAGTGCCATGCTTTTAGAAGTGGACATATCACGTCGGTTCATAACTAATGACGGCATAACAAGTGTCATGCTTTTAGGAGTGGACATATCACGTCGGTTCATAACTACTGACGTTATAATGGAGAGACTCAAACAAACAAAACAAAATATAAAAAGACTCAATCAACACAAAAAAGAATATAAAGTTTCAATCAAAACAATTTAAAAAAAAAAGAAGATACCATATAGAAGTAAAATCAATGGCGTAAACTATTCAAAAACGTGTCTATCCGATAGAAACCATTTAATTTTTAAGACAATAATGCAAAATCAATCTTTACATCCAAAATACCTTGTTTTTTTACCAAAAATGTCTTTGTTAAATTGAAATGATTTTTTTATACACTAGCTAATTTAATTATTTTGATAACTTGATTGCAATATCAATAGATTGGCCTAAGCTAGGGCTTAGAAAAATGTTTTGGAGATGTGTACAAGTTTTTTATTTGATCATAGTAGTGAAATGAATGATTACGATAGTTGTGTTTTCTTTTAAAAACGAAAATGAGAATTAGATAAATTTTCTTATTTGTATGTATTTCAGTATTTGTTATTTAATTTTTAATTTTGAACTTTAAATATTTTTTATTTTAATTTAGTTTTTTAGAATTATAATTGCAAAGGACACATGGCGGCATGTGGTTAAGCTAAAAAATTGATTTAACCTTATCCTGATGGATGCAGGGATGAACTAATGACAGAATTGGAAGCAAAGAGTTTATACTAATAAAAATAAAAGTAAGAGGATCAAATTAGTACAAATTAAGAGTAGAGGATGGATATAAACTTTAAACGTAAGCTTATGAATTCAAAGAGACCTTATCAGAATCAGACCCACTTGCTTTTGTTTCCCAAGTAACGCGTGGGTTGCACCGTCTCCTCACGTGGACTTACTCTCCTATTTAAAAGCTTGCCACGTCTTATTATCATCACTATTTATTGACAACGTGTTGTCAACCAATATTTGCCTATAAACGCTGCAGTAAGCAGCTGTTGTAGATTTCGTAGTCAAGGGTTTAAAGCTCAATATATTATATTATATTAACCATGTTAAAGGTGTTTAAATTTTTTATTTTTTTTTCATTATTGAAGGGTGAAACATTTGTTGGAAAGAAATTTTTAAATCATGAAAAATGAATTTTATTAATTATATTTAGTGAAGTAATAATAATTATGAAATGTATTAATTAATAAATCATATATGAGTAAATTATAACTTAATTCATATAGGTATTGTTTGGTAATCATGAATAGAGTGATGAAAATGAGAATACGAAATCGGAATGAAAATAAAAGAATCGAATGATATTTATGTTTTCATACTCGTATTTGGAATACTAATGAGAAATCGAAATGTAATTTAAATTTTTTAATATCTAATTTTTTATACAAATAAAAATAATAATTAAAAAAATAATTTTATAAAACTATAATGATTGTAAAAATAATAAATGTGATGATGATGATTGTTGTTACGATGGTAGTTGTGATGATGGTGGTAACGGTGGTTGTGATGATGATGATGATGATGGTTGTGGCAGTAGTGATGCTTGTTATGATGGTGATAGCGGTATTGATGGTGCTTGTTATGATGACAATGGTGATGGTAGTAATTGTGGTAGTGATGGTAAATATAGTTACTAAACAATAAATAAATAAAATATATTATTATTTTGAAAAAAAATTCATTTTCATTTTTTGTTTTTATTCCCATATCTTATATGGGAATGAAGTTATGTGTAAGTTTTCATTCTCATTCTCACTCTTTATTTTCATTACTACTTCATTTCTTTTAACCAACATATATAATGTAGGAATAAAACTATCATTCTCATTCCCACAACTCTATTCCTGATTATCAAACAACACCTTAATTTTTTAAAATGAATTAAATAGTTCATTTAGTTTCAATAAACAATCAATTAGTTCTTATGTTTTTAAATTTATTTTATTTTAAAAAATATATATATAAAAAAAGAATTAACGAGAAAAAAATAACCATAATCATTAGTCAAAAGATTAATTAATTAGTTTTAACATAAAAAAAGATTATTTAATTTATTTTTCCTAAACTAAAAAAAACTAATTTATAACGTACGCATTACATCATTTAATAAAATAATGTTGCAGGTGTGGTTGTGGGCCATGTATTATAGGTTGAACAAGTAAGAGAAAAGAAAGAACATGAACTTTTGCACCTGTTTGTAAAGAGACTGCCAACAGAGAATGTTTTTAAGTTATTTTTGCACATTCAAAAGTGACCCATATTTTGCTGTGACTGAAAAGGAAGGTCACTTTCCCAACCAAAGGGGGCCCAAGGGGAGTGCATAATTGCTTCTTTTTTATGCTCTCTTATTGGAATATCCCAAGTGGGATATGACCAAAGGTTTCGTGGCTTATCCCACTTCTTCGAGCACGCTTTTATACCATTGAGTTTTTGACGACATACATTGTTGCACCAACCTTTTTGCTCAACATTCGTGTTCATGTTACTTTCCATCGAAAGGTTTTTGCTCCATTTTTGTTTGTTCGTGAACTACACCTTTTTCATAAACACCGACAAATTATCAACGGAATATTTGTAATTTAAATACACTTATAGCCGTTTTCTTAATTGAATATATCAATTTTAATATTTTTTTCATCATCTAAATACATTAGTCTTTTTCAAAACTGCCAATTAAATATTTCCTTTCAACTTCTATCAAGTCTTTAATTATTTGATACTCCATTGTCTAATGACATGCCATTCACTTCAAGCAATTAAATTATGATTTTACCTTTTTATTTTAAAAAGAACTTTTCTCCCGATATTATTTTTCACTTTTCTACTTTTTAAATATAAAACTTATCAAGTTATTTACTATATAAAAAGTAGAAAAAAATAATTGAAAAGAAAAAATTCAAATAAAAGACAATTATAATTTAACAGTTTGGAACAATTGATATGTCGTCAAATAATGGAACAATCCATAAAAAATAAATAGAAATACTTTGGTTGAAAATTTTGAAAAGAATTATATACTAAAAGAAAAACAAAAGTTCATGTATTGTATTGAAAAACCTTACAAAGTTGGTGTACTTAGAAAATCAGAAAGATGATTTCATTCATTGAGGTTACAGCAAAGAGCAGCAGTCATTTGCAACAAGCAAGAACATAAATTAGCAAAACTAAAAAATAAAATAAAATACAAAATTTATACATTATAACACACTAAATACTGATCAACAAATAATGTTACACATTAAAAAGGTGACTATTTTGCTGTTATCAAAGAAATTCTCGCCTGGCTACAACAATTTGATTCCTACATTAATACCTATCCTACACCAACCAAGCCAAGAGCAATTCTACGTTGGGGAAGAATATATATTTCTATTAAGGTTTTATACAAAAAGGCGGACATTCTTCAAGTCAGATCGGTCTCTCTACCATTGCATCAGTCCCTGCTACCCCATTATCTGGTTTTGTCATTCTCTCTCCAATGCCTGCCCATAACGACGGCCACCCTCATCTGTTTTCAAGCAAATTACCAAACATATGCATTCAACAAATAGGATGACGTTCTATACAAAGACTACAACAAGTCTAATATCCAAGAGCTCATTTCCAACAATATGCAAAGCACTAAGCACCTATTGACACCAAAGAATATTTTGTCCACTATTACAGAAACTTTGTAACTATTCCTATTCTGTTTGGTGAAAATAGTATTAGTGGTCTCGAAAAAGGAAAGGGGGAAGTCTGTGATTCAAAATTGTGTAAAGATGTTGCACCCAGATCAGTATAGAATGAAGGATTACTACCCTAACCCTGTGTGTGGTAAAAATAGAATTGGCAACTAAACAAATAGACCAAGGAGAAATATGTGATTCAAATGTTGTATCATTAAAGATATTGCACACAGGCAGTATATCCCATTCCCAACTTCTGTGATCCAGGATGGCACCAAAGACTAAAAGCTCAGTCCAAACAAGATCTTTGAGACAGCCTAAGTAAGAAGTTCAAATTTAACCTCAAGAGAGATATGAAGATGAGCCTTATAGAAAATGGCAGTCATCTGAATCTTAGGCAGCCAGAAATGCCTCTACTTTTTCAACAAGCAGATGATTATCCATTTTAACAACTATTAAGTCATATCATATCAAATATTTTATATAAACACCCAACTATTATTAAATGATCTTAAAACTGACTGGCATGGGGCAGAGTAAGCTCTGGAGAAAGATACAAGATAAAATGATACATACCACTTTCGCCATCAGAAATATCTGCAAGCCTTGAAATTGCATCAACAAGTGCTTGCTCATGATCCTGCTTTGAGAAAATTAATCACTCAGATATGCAAAATTGATGAATACTGGGGAAAATGGAAAAGAAATTGGAAACAGAACCACAGTTTCTTGTCTGACCTTCAATACTTTCTTTGCTTTGTCAATCTCAAGAGGATCAGGATGATTTGCATTGAAGACTCTCTCTACCTGTTCAAATTTACTGCTGATTAAAAAACCTGTGCAAAAAGTTGAATATTTTGAATTCCTCATATTCATCAACATTTTTTTTCACATACCTCCCTGATTAGAGTATCTGTATGAAGAATTTGGATGTCATCAGGCACCTTTTTTCCAATCCCATTCTGAGACGGCAACAAATCTTTCCTGGATTGACCCTTTGTGATCCCTCTACCTCTTCCAGAACCAGGACCACCATCCCGGCCCATTGACCTATTTATCCCATGCCCCGAACCACGATAATTGCCACGATGAGAGATTCCAGGGTCCTCATCTGCCCATTGTATATCCTCAGGAGAGATCTGAATGAAAAAGATCGTCAGTCAAGGTAAGTTAGAACAGAAACCAGCTCTTTTACTCATGGCTAAACATTTGAACCCAAATTGAATAGTTTTAATATGCTCCATAATTGTTTGAACACTGGATCTACATGATATTTCTATTACTGCATTTCTAGAAAAGGCTTGCACACCGTCTCTGTAAACCCTGGAGCTCTTTTTTTAGGTTGAGAAAGTAATATTTATAGATCATATATCTGGCTATAAAATAACTGTCATCCTTCATTTCATCAAAAATAAAACACAGAGATGCTTGCACCATATTAAAAAATCCATCAACTTTAAGTACACTGAAATGTGCCACTTCATCATGCTTTCAGATACATCATTGAGCTACTTCATCACCCTTCTGATATGAGCAATCTTTTGCATCTTGCCATCTAAAAATCTTAAACTAGCTACTTCAATGTTTGCAATCTTAGGTTTAATCCATGTGAGGAGTAGAAAACAAATCAGACAAGTGCAAATATTTGGAATTGCCTTCTCAAAGCAAAGAATTTATCTAAGTGCATAAGCTAGCTACTTCAACGTTTGCAATCTTAGCCTTAATCAGTGTGAGTAGAAAACAAATCAGACTAGTGCAAATATTTGGAATTGCCTTCTCAAAGCAAAGAATATATCTAATTGCCTAAAATAGCTACTTCAACGTTTGCAATCTTAGGGTTAAGCAGTGTGAGGAGTAGAAACAAATCACACAAGTGCAAATATTAGGAATTCCCTTCTCAAGCAAAGAATTTATCTAAGTGCATGTTAGGAAAATCTAAAGAATCTAATTAAAAGTAACAGTTAAGTATAACAATTATGAAACTACTTCATTCACACTTTGAAGTCTGTTACTCTGGAAACATAATGAAACTGCAGCCTACCTTTCATTTCCTTTTCATTAGCCACAAATCCCACAATATAAAAGCTTTAGGCAATATGGTTTTACAAGGCTAAATTGCAGCACAAAAGCACAATCCATACAAGAAACAAAACAAGAAAAAAGTTTAAAATAAAAGAACCAATAGGTCCTATGGACAAAGCAATAGATATACCTCTGACAGGTTAACCCATTCCCATGTCTCATTTGCCGTTTCCATATCATACACCAGAGCATGCCGCCCCTAACAATGATTATAAGTGAGCTACATAACCACTTGAAAAAAATCGTGCCTAAATCAATAATCATACATACCTCAATTGGGTTGTAGTCAGTTATAACAGCCTCATAGAAGTGATTATCGTCAGGCCACCTAGTTTTGACTCTCTTCCCAATATATTGATCAGCTCCTTCAGGAACACCACCAGTAGATACTCTATTAGCAACTTGACCTCTTCCAGACGGACCTGAGGATGGGTACGGAATGGACTTCAATGAAGAAGCACCAGGTAAACCCTGAGAAATGAAAAATGGAAACATTAAGGAAATAGACATACAAATGAGTAGGATTTGCCAGCTTGTGTCTCACAAATTTTCACTCACAGGTTTTTGTTTCTTGCCCTTGGGTCCTGTTACTGGTCCACGTTTAGCGGCGGATGAAGATGGCTGGTGTGATGCAGAAACTGCTGGTGGGTGAAATGATGGAGAAGGCCCACCAAAGGATTGAGAAGGTATGGATGAGCTCATCTTCTGTTTCTTACGAGATGCAGAGACAGTAGGGCTAGGTATTGGATCATGAACAGCTTGACCTGTAGTGAGCATGCCAGATTGATGCCCACCTGCCTGTCTCCATTCCCTAATGGCATTACCCAAAATCATACACATTAAATAGAAAAGAGACCAATACTTGCTCCGACATAACAACAGGGGTTTCATTTGCAGAGTAAATACAAAATTGCTTCATCATCCTATCATACCTTATCCTCCGTATTACATCATCTGCGTTAACCCGAGCAAGAAGCTCTCTGTGCTCCTCATTAGACAATCTCAGCTCCTTTCTAAGCTCTGTTATCAAGCTTTCCTTCTCCTGAAGAAAATACATTTCATGTGGCAGTTATTTAAACCTGACAGGACAGATTTAAAGTTATTAGAATTCAGAAAAATAATATGATAAAAAGTACCCAAGTAATGGCGTCCGCTTGTGCTTTAAATGCTCTTAGAACTGAACTGTATGCTTCTTGCTCAAGTTGGTGAATTTGTGTTTCCATATCAGTTTCACCATACATTCTAGGATAAGGGACTGAACCTCCTACTGGTCTTCCATTCCCTGCCACACGACCCCCTCTGGGGATTCTGTTTTGATGTGACGGAGGAAGATCATCATCAGTTCCTGAAATCAAGCAAAGCAAAAAACAAGATTATGAAAAACCATGACATCAGGACTGCATATCGATCAGAATTTACAACAGCATAAATAAAGAATTGGTAGCACACAAATGATTTAAAAGAGGCTTTAAATAAGGCAATCAATCATTGAAAGCACAAGGTCCATGGACAAAGCCTTTCTCACAACTGTAGACATCACAACATGAATTCCATGATTTGATGCCCTGTAGATTTGAGAATCTTGTAAATTTTGGCAGCTTTTGCCTCTCGACGACTTTGCTTGGAATTAGAGAGAGAATCAATGATGTCCATTACTGATTATCATTGAATTGCATTTGGGTTTTTCTACCGTTCAGCATCAAGTTTGTTGAATAAAAAATTCTAAGCTTTGCTTTACAAATCAATTTGTGGCAAGATTTTAAAAAATTAATGCCCACATTATATTCATTCACTGATGGCACAAATTCCAGATAAAGTTACATCAAGGGAACCTCCAGGAGGTAAAAAACTCAGATTTAAAGAAAATTTTGAATAACATAGTACTACCAATATAATAGAAACCCAAAATTAGGAAACAAAATCCATGTTCAGAGTGTAATCAAAGGCATGTTAAGGTTTTCAGCCACCTGCACATCAAAAACTGTTAAAAGCTCGCATGTATTCTGAAGTCCAAAGTTTTGACATCCAACATTATTCAAAAGCAAACAAAATGCTGATAACAATACTCAACACAGTACAGCATTTCTTTTATACTCTCTCTCTCTCTCTCTCTAACACACACACACAAGCTATAGCTCCAAAGACAGAAATTTACACTCTTTAAGTGCTTCAAGCTTGCAATTTACAAGTAAGGATTTGAATTTCAACAGTCGAAAGAACATTGAAGAACACCCAAAACACTACTGCCCATTGCCAAAATCCAACAAATTTCACTTACGAAAGCACAACTTGCTAAAACTACACTTTCAACAGTACTATTTCCCACTTAACTTGAAAAAATTAACACTCCAATACCTATCAAAATTACTATCACCCCTCACCATTGTGCAAACGATTCCAATTCAATCATCAAATAAACCTCAAAAAACAATATCTTTCAAAATCAAATTCTACGATAAATCCCTAACATCAAACTTCAAAAATGCCTACTTTTCCTCCCAAAAAACCTCAATTTGCAAAAACCCCATTACAACCCAACAGTTTACGTATCTAAATTCAAGCAAACCCTAACCCTAATCAATCAAAAAAACCTGTTACATTACCCTAAAAAAAGCACTAGAAATTAAAAGAAACTAAACACAAAAAGTTTTGATCTTTGTAGGTCAAAAGCTCACCACTGCTATCGTAAGGCTCGTAATCCATAGCCAGCTTTGATTCCCGAAACGACACTGCTTTAGCTCAGCGCCACCCCGAAAAAACCCTAAATTTCAAAGCCAATAGTGGAATTTGACTGCAAAGACTTTAAGGGCTAAATAATTAGCTTAAAAACTGATTACGATTTCGTTTAAGATGCAGAAACTGTAAAGATATCTCTTCCTCCTTAGCTGAATGATAGACTTTGAGCTTACAGACTGTAATTTTGATAGAATTTTTTTTCCTTTTTTTCAAAAATTAAAAATTAAAATAATTAAAAAATAAACAAAATAAACCGGACATGAAATAAATTATTGAATGGATGTCTTTTTTTTTTTTTTTTTCAGAGTTTATAGTTGGTTTTGAGATCCGTTACTTTTTCGTATTTCTTTGTCTTGTAATAAGGAGGCCATGTGCCTCTGTAAGGACTCAGGAGATGGTACTGTCTTCTTAAACTGGGGTCCAGTAATTTGGGCTTACTGTTTAGCCATAAAGAAAATAAGATTACAGATCTTGATCTGAAATTCCTAGCCCATATTAAATTGACGGTATGGGAATTTTGCTGAAGGGTAGAAGTGGCAATTGAGGTTCATGGAAACAGAGGGTGTATTTTCCACCTTCCCCTTCCTGAATGCCTTCTATCTTCTATATCAATATGATCTTTTTCACGACCAGTTTTATTAAGTAAAGTAAATATATCACGAAAAAAATAAAATAATTTACATTTTTCAAACAAAGTTAATCAAGATGGTCATAGAAAAAACAATTAGGCAAATTATTTAAGATATATACTGAAAAATATAAATATAATAAATGAGTTATATACATAATTTTGGGTTTGGAGGTCTATTGGTTTAGAGTATATCATGCTCAATTAAGCCGAGTGTTCTTACCCATTTCCACCTCTCCCTCCATGAAGACAAAATCTCACCATCTTTGCCTCCATTTAGATAATAGAGATGGACCTCCGTGGAAACATGTACAATTATTGTCCTTATTTAAGGTGTAAGTTCCTTTCATGATTAGGAGAAGGAATTTCACTAGATACTCGATATCATCCATTCTGATTGGATTGGATTGGATTGGATTTTTATTTGGTCTGACTTGGATAAAGTGGATCGAATAACAACTTGATTTAATTTCATTTAGATCACATGTTATGATTATGAGTAATTATTATTAATTAAGAATACTTGAAATTAATATGATTATGTCTCTTATTATTATATAATATTTGTTATCAATTACTAGGTAGTATATGATATAAGTTAAATAGTTGATTTTTTTTCTTTTTAGAAGTACGTAATATAAATAAATTTAACAAACAATAAACGCATAATTCATCATTATACACATGATTTTTTAAATATAAGAGAGATCTACAATAATTTCTACACGTAATCGTATTAATCACTAAAGATTTACTAATTAGTACATATTACTAGTAATATTTACTGACATAGTGCAATATTTTTTAAATGCATATAGTATTGATTTCTAAAATATAACTTAAAAAAAATTGATTATGCGAGATTCTTTGCATAAAAATTTTAAGATTTGATTTTGTGAATTACTATAAAAAATTTTAGAAGAAATAATTTTTTGAAAATATGAAAAAAGCCAGATAAGGTTGGATATTTATGGGATACTCAGCAGATGAAGAAGATCTTTCACCCAACCCACCATCCTTAATCATGATTATATATAATAGAAGTGGGATTCTGTTATAAGTTTGTCGCATGTGAATCAACGACGAGAGTTGAATGGTCTAAATATATCGTAATCCTTTAGGTACTGTAAGAATTAGTTTGAAAATTTTGGGGTCTAGTAATAATTAACAAACAAAACTAAAAGAATAAGGATCTTGATTGTTCAGTTACTATTCATTTGACTCAATTGCATAGGATCAATAATTTACATGGTACAGGTAGAAGTTTTGTTTCGATGATTAATGTAAGTTAAATCTATTTGTTAAGTGAAACCATTTAATTTATATATATTTAATAACAAAATAATCAATAACATTCACATAAAAAATTGTATTTCAATAATTAGAAGGTTTTTTCAAAACTATATTTCAATTATTTTATTTAAAAAATATTGATTTTAGAACATGAAAAAGAATAAAAAAATAAATAATTGATGTTATATGTACGATACATAGTTAACTTTCAACAAAACGAATGATTCAAGTGTGTGGGTGTGTGTGTGTTGTCACTTAAGTTGCATGAAATATATTGAAATCAATATACTGAAATAAAACTATTACAAAATTAGTTCCGATAAATTTTGATCATATATATTAAAAAACAAGTAGATAAAACCCGAGAATTTTATTTCTTTAATTGGTTATTTAATTTTTTTAAAAAAAATTAAGTCAAATAATCTAAAACACACTTTTAGCCCCCCTTCACACACACACACACACACACACACAAAATCATAAAAATTCATCATATAAATTATAATAATATATAAATATGTAAAATGATCACGTTCTAAATTTTTATTTCAAAATAAACATGTAAAAAAAAAAAAGACAAACCATATTTCTTAACAAATAAAATTATATTAATAAATTAAAAAAATAATTTATGAGAATTTTGATAAGAAAAGATAAATTGAAGAAATAGATTTTAAACAATAAGAGTAATATAATATGATATATGTCTAACCTAAAATCTTAAAACATATCATATATATTTCATTATCATCAAATTGTACATAAAAAATAAATAACTATATATTTTCTATAATTTTCACACTCAATTACATGAAAAAAATAATAAATAAATAAATTGTTAGAAGAGGGGAAAAAAAAAAGACTATGCTTGCACTTGGCCAAGGCAACGCACTTGAGCCTGCTTCTACAGGTTGCATGTGAGGCTAGCTCCACTTGGACTTGATTCTCCAGCCCTTACATCCTGACCAGCCCCTAAAAAACATAAACATCTTGATCGAAATAAAGCTTTAAAATATCAAAGTTCAAAACGTAAAAAATCATATAATTTGTATATAATTGCCCAAGAAAGAAGCAAAAATTACACACAAACCAAACTTTGATGAATAGTGTTAGTAAACTTCAATGAATAGTATTAGTGGGTCAATAACTACAGTGAATGAACAGTGAAAAGTTCAGTTATTTTAGTTTTTTTTAATATATATTCTATTATGATTTACAAAATTCTTAGAATTTATGATATATATTATATCAATTTATTTTTTTTAAAAAAATCATGTTTTAAAATTTTATTGTAAAATACAAATATAGAGAAAAATCAATTATATTTATCAGTAAATAAAATTTTATATAAAATAAAAAATTAATTGAATGAGAATTTTTATAAAAAATAAAAAATTTTAAAAATAAATTTAAAATAAAGTTTAATATAATTTCAAATATATATTAATTTTAAAATATAAGAAGATATATATATATCTTCATGCTGCGTGAAAAAAATAAATAATTGTGCTTGATATTCTATAATTTTTCCCTTAAAATTTCTTAATTAAAAATAAATTAAAGAAAAAAATAAAAACAAAGGTACAGGCGTGTGCGCTTTGGCCTAAAGCTCCTGGCCTGCGTGCATATAAAGGTGCATAATGCACGATTCAACTCCTAACATTGTGAAATCGGGCGGCTGATCACAAATCATGTCAGACAACATAAAAATACAACGGTCCAAATGCATGCACGTAAAGAAATGGTAGAGGGATTTATTTGGACTTTTTTTTTGACATTTTTAATATATGAAAAAAAAGCTACAACAAAAAATCGCTATATATATATATATATATATAACACGTGTTCATATTAATTTAAGTTGATATGATTTTCAATTTCTAAAAGAAAAACATGCTTGAAAAATGAAATTAATTTTTAAAACATCTTAGAAATTAGAAAAAATGAAAAAATAATTACAAAAGTAAAAAATCCAAATAAATCCCTCTACTTAGAGTTTAATTTTTTTGACTCATTACATATGGGACACGTGTCCTATTTTTTTCCTAATTTTTAAAAAATTATATTTTATTGTTTAAATGTAATTTATCAGGGTAATTTGTTTTTTAATTTTTTTCTTTTCAATTTGTGAGTTAATAAATTAATGTTAATAGCATTTTAGACCAAAAAAAAAGAAGAAGAAGAAGAAAAAACTTAATTGTATATAGAATACATTATAAAGACACTCTAATAACCATATTAGTAGTAAAAGGACATTATTAATCAATCCCTAATAACAGAGAGACTTTGGGTATAATTAACGTGAGCAAAGAAGCTGACCCGTTTGCTAATAATTCCTTGAAAATGAATTATTAGAAGGATCCAAATGGATGAGAATGGAGAAGAGATGAGAGGATAGTAGTTTTTTAAAACAAACGGGTGTAGCACCATTATTGTGCTGCATTAAATACACTGAGCAAGAAATAATGGAACTTACAAAATAGGACAGAAAAGGCAGCCAACAAAGGATTGGAAATGAGGGCATTAAGGTAAGTTCAAAAGAGCATTGACGGGCTCAAACATAAATAAAGGGAAAAAGAAAGGGCAAGAAAGGGCATTAGACAGGCTTTGAGAGGGAGAAAAAGTAAAATAACGGGAAAATTATTCGCATATTATGCAGTAGGAAGAAAGCCACAACAGATATAGAAAAGAAATGACCGTTGAGATGCATGTAATAGAAGTAAATAGTAGTACTGAGTCATAGTCTATAGTGATTTTAGTCTACGTATATAGCAAATAAACAATAAACTTCTCACTTCTTTTAGTTTTTTAATAATATTATGATGATGAGTAATTATTATTAATTAAGAATACTTGAAATTAATATGATTATTTCTCTTGTTATTATATAACATTTGTTATCAATTACTAGGTAGTATATGATATAAGTTAAATAGTTGATTTTTTTCTTTTTAGAAGTACGTAATATAAATAAATTTAACAAATAATGAACGCATAATTCATCATTATGCACATGATTTTTTAAATATAAGAGAGATCTTCAATA